TAGTGTATACGTGTGTATCTATATTTGTGTATATGTGTATAAATGTGTGTTTGTGTATATGTGTGTATATATATTTGTGTATATGTGTATATATGTGTGTTTGTGTATATGTGTGTATATATATTTGTGTACATGTGCATATATGTGTGTTTGTGTATGTGTGTATATATATATTTGTGTATATGTGTATATTTGCGTGTTTGTGTATATATATATATATATTATATATATATATTTGTGTATATGTGTGTTTTTGTATATGAGTGTAAATATTTGTGTATATGTGTATATATGTGTGTTTGTGTATATATATATATATTTGTGTATATGTATATATGTGTGTTTTTGTATATGTGTGTATATATATATATTTGTGTATATGTGTATATTTGCGTGTTAGTGTATACGTGTGTATCTATATTTGTGTATATGTGTATAAATGTGTGTTTGTGTATATGTGTGTATATATATTTGTATATGTGTATATATGTGTGTTTGTGTATATGTGTGTATATATATTTGTGTACATGTGCATATATGTGTGTTTGTGTATGTGTATATATATATATTTGTGTATATGTGTATATTTGCGTGTTTGTGTATATATATATATTATATATATATTTGTGTATATGTGTGTTTTTGTATATGTGTGTAAATATTTGTGTATATGTGTATATATGTGTGTTTGTGTATATATATATATATTTGTGTATATGTGTATATGTGTGTTTTTGTATATGTGTGTATATATATATATTTGTGTATATGTGTATATATGTGTTTTTGTGTATATGTGTGTATATATATATATATATTTGTGTATATATGTGTATTTGTGTATATGTGTGTATATATATATTTGTGTATATGTGTATATATGTGTTTATATATATTTGTGTATATGTGTATATATGTGTGTTTGTGTATATATATATAGTTGTGTATATGTGTATATATGTGTTTTTGTGTATATGTGTGTATATATATATATTTGTGTATATGTGTATAATATGTGTGTTTGTGTATATGTGTGTATATATATATTTGTGTATATGTGTATATATGTGTGTTTGTGTATATGTGTGTATATATATATGTGTATATATGTGTGTTTGTGTATATGTGTGTATATATATTTGTGTATATGTGTATATATGTGTGTTTGTGTATATGTGTGTATATATATATGTGTATATGTGTGTTTGTGTATATGTGTATATATATATATTTGTGTATATGTGTGTATATATATTTGTGTATATGTGTATATATGTGTGTTTGTGTATATATGTGGTTTTACACATGCATTGTAATGTTTTTTTTTGTTTTTTGGCTTTTTAAGTGTTTTTCAGTGTTTTTATGAGTGATGGTCACTTGTTGGCCTGATAGGTTTATGGTGTTCTAATATAATATAATATAATATAATATAATATAATATAATATAATATAATATAACATAACATGATATAATATAGTATAATATAACATAATATAATATAGTATAATATATATAATATAATATAATTCATAATATATAATATAATATAATATAATATAATATAATATATAATATAATATATAATATAATATAATATAATATAGAGCCCCCGGTGGCGCAGTGGGTTAAAGCACTGAGCTGCTGAGCTTGTTGATCGAAAGGTTGCAGGTTCGATTCCGGGGAGCGGCGTGAGCTTCCGCTGTCAGCCCTAGCTTCTGCCAACCTAGCAGTTTGAAAACATGCAAATGTGAGTAGATCAATAGGTACCGCTCCGGCGGGAAGGTAATGGCGCTCCATGCAGTCATGCCGGCCACATGACCTTGGAGGTGTCTACGGACAACGCTGGCTCTTCGGCTTAGAAATGGAGATGAGCACCACACCCCAGAGTCAGACATGACTGGACTTAATGTCAGGGGGAAACCTTTACCTTTACCTATAATATAATATAAAATATAAAATATATAATATAATATAATATAAAATATAATAAAATGTAGTATATAATATAAAATAAATATAAAATATAATAAAATATAAAATACAATATATAATATAATATAAAATATAAAATACAATATAATAAAATATAAAATATAATATAAAATATATAATATAATATAATATTTTGTTGTTCATTCGTTCAGTCGTCTCCGACTCTTCGTGACCTCATGGACCAGCCCACGCCAGAGCTCCCTGTCGGCCGTCCCCACCCCCAGCTCCTTCAAGGTCAGTCCAGTCACTTCAAGGATGCCATCCATCCATCTTGCCCTTGGTCGGCCCCTCTTCCTTTTGCCTTCCAAAATATAAAATAATATATAATATAATATATAATATATAATATATACTATATAATATATAATATAATATAAAATAAATATAATAAAATATAAAATATAATATATAATATTAATATAAAATAAATATAATATAAAATAATATATAAAATAATATATACTATAAAATATAATATGAAATATAATATATAATATAAATATAAAATAAATATAAAATATAATATAAAATATAAGGTATAATATAATTTAAAATATAAAATACAATATAATAAAATATAAAATATATTATAAAATATATAATATAATATATAATATATAATATCATATGAAATATAATATAGTATAAAATATAATAAAATATATAATATAATATAATATAATAAAATATAAAATATAATATGAAATATAACATATAATATAACATAAAATAAATATAAAATATAATATAAAATATAATGTATAATATAATTTAAAATATAAAATACAATATAATAAAATATAAAATATATTATAAAATATATAATATAATAAAATATATAAAATATAAAATAATATATAATATAAAATAATATATAATATAAAATAATATATAATATAAAATATAAAATGTAATATGAAATATAATATAATAAAATATAAAATATAATATGAAATATAACATATAATATAACATAAAATAAATATAAAATATAATATAAAATATAATGTATAATATAATTTAAAATATAAAATACAATATAATAAAATATAAAATATATTATAAAATACGTGGGGCTGCCCTTGAAGACGGCCCGGAAGCTTCAGCTGGTTCAGCGTGCGGCAGCCATGTTACTAACTGGAGCGGGGGGCAGGGAGCATACAACGCCCTTGTTGTCCCAGCTCCATTGGCTGCCGATTTGCTACCGGACCCAATTTAAGGTGCTGGTTTTGGCCTACAAAGCCCTAAACGGCTCCGGCCCAAAATACCTTTCGGACCGCATCTTGGCCTACGAGCCCACGAGGACCTTGAGATCATCTGGGGAGGCCCTTCTCTCGATCCCGCCTGCCTCACAGGCACGTCTGGCGGGGACGAGGGAGAGGGCCTTCTCGGTGGTGGCCCCCCGGCTGTGGAACACTCTCCCTGCAGACATCAGACAGGCGCCCTCCCTCATGTCCTTCCGAAAAAGCCTTAAGACATGGCTGTTCGAGAAGGCATTCAATTAAGTGCTATAATAATGCGGTAAAGATGATTGGAATGGAATAAGGAATATGAGATTGGTTATGATTCCACTATGAGACGAAGCGGATTTTTAGTGTAGTTTTTGTAATTGTTATGTAGTTTATATGCTGTTGTAATTGCCTTTTTGTAAATTGTCTTTTATATGTGTGTACACCGCCATGAGTCGCCCTAAAGGGCTGAGAATGGCGGTTAATAAATGCATCAAATAAATAAATAAATAAATAAATAAATAAAATATATAATATAATATAATATATAATATATAATATCATATGAAATATAATATAGTATAAAATATAATAAAATATATAATATAATATACACACACATGTATAAAATAAATATAAAATATAATATAATGCATAATATAATATAAAATATAAAATACAATATAATATATAATATAAAATATATTATAAAATATATAATATAATAAAATATATAAAATATAATATAAAATATAATGTATAATATAATTTAAAATATAAAATACAAATATATAAAATAAAATATATATAAAATAAAATATATATATAAAAATATAATATATATAAAATATAATAAAATATATAAAATAAATATATAAAAATTATAAAATAAATATAAAATATAATATAATGATAATATAATATAAAATATAAAATACAATATAATAAATATAAAATATATTATAAAATATATAATATAATATAATATATAATATATAATATATATGAAATATAATATAGTATAAAATATAATAAATATATAATATAAATAAAATATAAAATATAATATAAAATATATAATGTAATAAAATATAAAATACAATATAATATAATAAAATATAAAATATATAATATAATAAAATATATAAAATATAATATAAAATATAATGTATAATATAATTTAAAATATAAAATACAATATAATAAAATATAAAATATATTATAAAATATATAATATAATATATAATATATAATATCATATGAAATATAATATAGTATAAAATATAATAAAATATATAATATAATATAATATAATATACACACACATGTATAAAATAAATATAAAATATAATATAATGTATAATATAATATAAAATATAAAATACAATACAATAAAATATAATATATAATATAAAATATATAATATAATATATAAAATATAAAATAATATATAATATGAAATTTATAGTGTTTGTATGTGTCCCAGCTTCCTAATTGGCTCAGACTTCCAAATAAAACAAACCATGCCTTTCTCAAATAACCAGGGCACAATAATAAGGAAATAAAGAAAGAATGAGAAAGTGCCTTGAGACAAAGAAAAAAATAAAATCAGGGAGTCGAAGGGGGATCGGAAGTGTGGAGCGCGAGTGAGTGGAGGACGAGCCCTTTGACCAGGCAGGCAGGCAGGCAGGCAGGCAGGCGTAGGAGGTGCGCGCCGATGCCTGTGCGTGGCCACGCCCCTTCCCTGGCGCGCAGTCCGTATAGTGGCTGCCGGAGCGGAGCGTGGCGGCCCTTCCGGGAAGATGTCTGTGGCGGGGCTGTGCCGGCGGGGCTGGGCCTGGGCGCCGGCCTTGCTCCTCGCCCTCCTCACCCTCTGGTCCTACTACGCCTACGTCGTCGAGCTCTGCCTCGGTGAGGGGAAGGACACAGGGAGGGAGATGAGGCCTGCACTCACCACAGGCCCATTCAATACTAGACCATGGCCTAGGCCAGGCTTGGGCCTACTTGGGCCTTCCCTCTAGTGGTTTTGGACTCCAACTCCCATCATTCCTCACAGCCTCAGGCCCCTTCCTTTTCCCCCTCAGCCGCTTAAGGCTGAGAGGGAAAAGGAAAGGGCCTGAGGCTGTGAGGAATGATGGGAGTTGAGATAACCACTAGAGGGAAGGCCCAAGTAGGCCCAAGCCTGGCCTAGACTGCATCATTCAAGTGTAATCATTGAATGCTCAATCATAGTGTATATATATATTCCATAATGATCACCTCCAAGGTCATGTGGCCGTCATCACCGCCTGGGCAGTACCTATTGATCTACTCACATTTGCATGTTTTTGAACTGCTAGGTTGGCAGAAGCTGAGGCTGACAGCAGAATTTCACTCCGCTCCCCGGATTATATATATCTGTACAATATATATATATATATACACACACACACAATATTGTGTCTGTGTGTATATATATACACACAAACAATATTGTGTGTATATATACCATTGTGTGTGTGTACATATACTATTGTGTGTGTGTGTGTATATACACAGACACAATATTGTGTGTGTATATACTATTGTGTGTGTGTGTACATATACTATTGTGTGTGTGTGTATATACACAGACACAATATTGTGTGTATATATACCATTGTGTGTGTGTGTACATATACTATTGTGTGTGTGTATATACACAGACACAATATTGTGTGTATATACTATTGTGTGTGTGTATATATATATACACACACACAATATTGTGTGTATATATACTACTGTGTGTGTGTATATATACTATTGTCTCTCTGTGTGTATATACACACAATATTGTGTATATGTATACTATTGTGTGTGTGTATATATATACACACACACACAATATTGTGTGTATAAATACTATTATGTGTGTGTATATATATGTATACACACAATATTGTGTGTATATATACTATTGTGTATGTGTGTATATATACTATTGTCTCTCTGTGTGTGTATATACACACACAATATTGTGGGTATATATGCTATTGTGTGTGTATATATATATTTATATATATATATATATACACACACACAATATTGTGTGTATATATACTATTTGTGTGTATATATACTATTGTCTCTCTGTGTGTATATACACACAATATTGTGTATATGTATACTATTGTGTGTGTGTATATATATGCACACACAATATTGTGTGTATATATACTATTGTGTGTGTGTGTATATATACACACACAATATTGTGTGTATATATATATACACACACAATATTGTGTGTATATATACTATTGTGTTTGTGTGTGTGTATATACTCACAAACAATATTGTGTGTATATATACTATTGTGTGTGTGTGTATATATATACTATTGTCTGTTTGTGATGACGAGACGACAGTGAATGGGTATTGTAGTAACTGTTTATTAATTGTGTAATGTGTTAGGTTGTTAACTGTTTCTATACTGTAGCACTGAATTTTTGCTGTTCGTATTTGTTGTGAACCGCTGTGAGTCGCCTTCGGACTGAGAACAGCGGTATATAAGTAAGGTAAATAAATAAATAACAAATAATAGCAGAGATACACACAATATTGTGTGTGTATATATATATACACACAATATTGTGTGTGTATATATACACACACACACAATAGTATATATACACACAATATTGTGTGTGTATATACACAGAGAGAGACAATAGTATATATACACACAATATTGTGAGTATATATACTATTGTGTGTGTGTGTGTATATATATATACACACACAATATTGTGTGTATATATACTATTGTGTGTGTGTGTATATATATATACACACACACACACAATAGTATATATACACACAATATTGTGTGTGTATATACACACAGAGAGAGACAACAGTATATATACACACAATATTGTGTTTATATATACTATTGTGTTTGTGTGTATATATAAATACACACACACAATATTGTGTGTATATATACTATTGTGTGTATATATATATATACACACACACAATATTGTGTGTATATATACTATTTGTGTGTATATATACTATTGTCTCTCTGTGTGTATATACACACAATATTGTGTATATGTATACTATTGTGTGTGTGTATATATATGCACACACAATATTGTGTGTATATATACTATTGTGTATGTGTGTGTATATATATACACACACACAATATTGTGTGTATATATACTATTGTGTATGTGTGTGTATATATATATACACACACACAATATTGTCTGTATATATACTATTGTATGTGTGTATATATACACACACACATTATTGTGTGTATATATACTATTGTGTGTGTGTGTGTGGGGGGGGGGTTTGGGGGTGAAGCTCCTCTACTGGAATATTGGGTCCAATTCTGGGCACCACAATTGAAGAGAGATATTGACAAGCTGGAATGTGTCCAGAGGAGGGCGACTCAAATGATCAGGGTCTGGAGAACAAGCCCTATGAGGAGCGGCTTAAGGAGCTGGGCATGTTTAGCCTGAAGAAGAGAAGGCTGAGAGGAGATATGATAGCCATGTATAAATATGTGAGAGGAAGCCACAGGGAGGAGGAGGGAGCAAGCTTCCTTTCTGCTTCCCTGGAGAATATATACTATTATTATACTTAAATGGTGATCATTATGAAATATAATATATGGCTGAAATAGGGCTTCATTTAAGAGGTGAAAGCAGATAACAAGAACAATATCGGAAGCAACTCTCTCTTGCCTCGCTAAAACGAGTGTGTTATTTTCTCTTGCAGTGACATTGACCAACTCCTTGGAAAAAGGTGCGTTCATGGCCTTGGGTTGTACTCTTTTTAAAATGGCTTAATGCATGCAATGTCGAATAGTGTGTTTGAATGCCTTGTGTGTCTGATGCGTAGGTCAAACAGGCCAATTGGGGAGCAGTGTTTCCCTTTCCATTGTATAAGCTTTGCTCCAAATCTGCCTTCAGAGATTAAGGAAGAACGTGGCAAGGAGCAGGGCAGGGCCGTTGCTTAACTCAGAAAAACCCTCTTTTTCCCTCCTGCAGTGGCCTACCTTGCCGTGTTCCATGTGATCTTTGTGCTCTTCGTTTGGGCCTATTGGAAGTCCACCTTTACTCCTCCCCAGCAGCCGGACAAAAAGGTAACAGTCAGCAGACTTCCGGATTTAGTGACCCCGAATGTGGGTTTGGGGTGAAGCTCCTAGTGTCTAGAAGTCATGCTCCCCATGCTCTATTCTGCTTTGGTTAGACCACACCTGGAATATTGTGTCCGATTCTGGGCACCACAATTGAAGGGTGATGTTGACAAGCTGGAATGTGTCCAGAGGAGGGCGACTAAAAATGATCAAGGGTTTGGAGAACAATCCCTATGAGGAGCGGCTTAAAGAGCTGGGCATGTTTAGCCTGAAGAAGAGAAGGCTGAGAGGAGACATGATAGCCGTGTATAAATATGTGAGAGGAAATCATAGGGAGGAGGGAGCGAGCTTGTTTTCTGCTGCCCTGGAGACTAGGCTTCAAACTTCAAGAAAGGAGAATCCATCTGAACATTAGGAGGAACTTCCTGACTGTGAGAGCCGTTCAGCAGTGGAACTCTTTGCCCTGGAGTGTGGTAGAGGCTCCTTCTTTGGAAGCTTTTCAACAGAAGCTGGACGGCCATCTGTCGGGGGTGCTTTGAATGCAATTTCCCTGCTTCTTGTCAGAATGGGGTTGGACTGGATGGCCCATGAGGTCTCTTCCAACTCTATGATTCGATGATTTTATTCTCTTACGGAAGCAACAATTTCATTCTCTTACGGACCTAGAGTCATGGAGGTGGAAGGGACCCCCAAGGCCATCCAGTCCAACCCTGTAGGAGCACTCAGTCTAAGCCCTCCTGACAGATGACCATCCAGCCTCTCGTTAAAAGCTCCCAGAGAAGGAAGCAGATTACACTGGACTCTAAAGCAGCATCATACTGTCTTCTTTCTAAGCTATGTTCCCAATGGAAGGGTTAGCATTGTGACTGTCGTTTCCACAGGACTTGATGTATTTATTTACGACATTTATATGCTACCCTTCTCACCTCGAAGGGGACTCAGAGTGGCTTACAAGATATATATACAATATATTATATTATTAGTATAATAAAATATCAGTATTAATTATTACTATATTGTATATATGCCAAGGTGGGAAGTCAAATGACAACTGGGATCACAGGCAAGCATGGTCTGGGAGAACAAAATGAAGCGGGACGCAGGCTGATAGAATTTTGCCAGGAAAACTCGCTGTGTATAACGAATACTCTCTTCCAACAACCTAAAATACGGCTTTATACATGGACCTCACCAGATGGTCAACACCGAAATCAGATTGACTACATCCTTTGCAGCCAAAGGTGGCGGACATCCATCCAGTCGGTGAAAACAAGACCTGGGGCTGACTGTAGCTCAGATCACGAACTTCTTATTGCCCAATTTAGAATAAAACTAAAGAGATCAGGGAGAATACACAGACCAGTTAGATATGATCTCACTAACATTCCTAGCGAATATACAGTGGAAGTGAAGAACAGATTTGAAGGACTAGATTTAGTAAACAGAGTCCCAGAAGAACTATGGACAGAAGTCCGAGACATTGTTGAGGAGGCGGCAACAAAGTACGTCCCAAAGAAAAAGAAAACCAAGAAGGCAAAATGGTTGTCTGCTGAGACACTGGAAGTAGCCCAAGAAAGGAGGAAAGCAAAAGGAAACAGGATAAGGGGAGATATGCCCAGTTAAATGCGCAATCCCAGAGGTTAGCCAGAAGAGATAAGGAACTATTTTTAAATAAGCAATGCATGGAAGTGGAAGAAGACAACAGAATAGGAAGGACAAGAGACCTCTTCCAGAAAATTAGAAACATTGGAGGTAAATTTCAGGAAAAAATTGGTATGATAAGAAACAAAGATGGCAGGGACCTAACAGAAGCTGAAGAGATCAAGAGAAGGTGGCGAGACTATACAGAAGATCTGTATAGGAAGGATAATAATATTGAGGATAGTTTTGACGGTGTGGTGAATGAATTAGAACCAGACATCCTGAGGAGTGAGGTTGAATGGGCCTTAAGAAGCATTGCTAACAACAAGGCAGCAGGAGACGACGGGATCCCAGCTGAACTGTTTAAAATCTTAAAAGATGATGCTGTCAAGGTGATGCATGCCATTTGCCAGCAAATATGGAAAACACAAGAATGGCCATCAGACTGGAAAAAAATCAACTTATCTCCCCATACCAAAAAAGGGAAATGCGAAAGACTGCTCAAACTTCCGTACAGTGGCCCTTATTTCTCATGCCAGTAAGGTAATGCTCAAGATCCTGCAAGGAAGACTCCAGCAATACATGGAGCGAGAGTTGCCAGATGTTCAAGCTGGGTTTAGACAAGGTAGAGGAACGAGAGACCAAATTGCCAATATCCGCTGGATAATGGAGAAAGGCAGGGAGTTTCAGAAAAACATCTACTTCTGCTTCATTGACTATTCTAAAGCCTTTGACTGTGTGGATCATAATAAATTGTGGCAAGTTCTTGGTGGGATGGGCATCCCAAGCCACCTTGTCTCTCTCCTGAGGAATCTGTACAAGGACCAAGTAGCAACAGTCAGAACTGACCACGGAACAACAGACTGGTTCAAGATTGGGAAAGGTGTATGGCAAGGCTGCATACTCTCACCCAACCTTTTTAACTTGTATGCAGAACACATCATGCGAGTATGTGCGGGGCTGGATGAATGCAAAGCTGGGGTGAAAATTGCTGGAAGAAACATTACCAACCTCAGATATGCAGATGACACCACTCTGATGGCCAAAAGCGAGGAGGAGCTGAGGAGCCTTCTAATCAAGGTGAAAGAAGAAAGCGCAAAAGCCGGGTTGCAGCTAAACGTCAAAAAAACCAAGATTATGGCAACAAGAATGATTGACAACTGGAAAATGGAGGGAGAAACCGTGGAGGCCGTGACAGACTTTGTATTTCTAGGTGCAAAGATTACTGCAGATGCAGACTGTAGCCAGGAAATCAGAAGACGCTTACTTCTTGGGAGGAGAGCAATGTCCAATCTCGATAAAATAGTAAAGAGTAGAGACATCAGACTGGCAACAAAGATCCGCCTAGTCAAAGCCATGGTATGCCCTGTAGTAACCTACGGATGTGAGAGCTGGACCTTAGGGAAGGCTGAGCGAAGGAAGATCGATGCTTTTGAGCTGTGGTGTTGGAGGAAAGTGCTGAGAGTGCCTTGGACTGCGAGAAGATCCAACCAGTCCATCCTCCAGGAAATAAATCCCGACTGCTCACTGGAGGGAAAGATACTAGAGACAAAGTTGAAGTACTTTGGCCACATCATGAGGAGACAGGAAAGCCTAGAGAAGACAATTATGCTGGGGAAAGTGGAAGGAAAAGGAAGAGGGGCCGACCAAGGGGAAAGATGGATGGATGGCATCCTTGAAGTGACTGGACTGACCTTGAGGGAGCTGGGGGTGGTAACGGCCGACAGGGAGCTCTGGCGTAGGCTGGTCCATGAGGTCACGAAGAGTCGGAGACGACTGAACGAATGAACAACAACATATTGTATTATACCATTATATTGTAATATTATTAGTAATATTACATGTAATATAAATATTATTATTAGTATTATATTGCATTACATTATAATATTATAAATATGATATGCGTATACAATATATTATCTATATAAATAAAAATGTAATGTTCGTTTGTGGGATTAACAGAACTCAAAAACCACTGGGTGAATTGACACCAAATTTGGACACAAGACACCTAACAACAATTTGGGGCTAACAGTGGGAGCTCACTCCACTCCTCGGATTCAAACCCTCAACCTTTCGGTCAGCAAGTTCAGCAGCTCGGTGGTTTAACCTGCTGTGCCATCAGGGCCCCCCTAAGCCTACAGCACCCAGTTTTCACAGACAGTGTCCCATCTAAGTACTAACCAGGCCCGACCCTGTTTATTTTATTTATTTATTTATTTATTTATTTACGACATTTATATGCTGCTCAGAGCAGCTTACAAGCAAAAAGTAAATACAATATATTATATTATTATCATAGCACAATATTAATATTATATATTACATTGCACTATAATATTATATTATAATATTATTAGTAATATTACATTTCATATAAAATATATAATATGTTATTATTATTATTATTATTATTATTAGTAGTAGTAGTATATTGTAGGAGCCCCCCGTGGCGCAGTGGGTTAAAGCGCTGAGCTGCTGAGCTTGTTGATCAAAAGGTCGCAGGTTCGATTCCAAGGAGCGGCGTGAGTTTCCGCTGTCAGCCCTAGCTTCTGCCAACCTAGCAGTTCGAAAACATGCAAATGTGAGTAGATCAATAGGTACCGCTCCGGCGGGAAGGTAACGGCGCTCCATGCAGTCATGCCGGCCACATGACCTTGGAGGTGTCTACGGACAACGCTGGCTCTTCGGCTTAGAAATGGAGATGAGCACCACACCCCAGAGTCAGACATGACTGGACTTAATGTCAGGGGACTACCTACCTACCTAGTAGTATATTGTATTACCCATGACATGGATTGACTACAAAAAAGCCTTTGACTCACTCCCACACAGTTGGATCATCAAGTGCCTAGACACCATCGGGATTTGTAAAAACGTTGGCACTTTTATTTAAAATATGATGAAGCACTAGAAAACTGAACTGTTTGTTGGAAATATAACATATATAATAATATAATTTTACTACTATTACTAGTATATTGTATTACATTATAATATTATCAATATTATATGTATATACAATATATTATATTACTAGCTGTACCCGCCACGCGTTGCTGTGGCCAACCTTCCTTCCCTCCCTCTTTCTTTCCTTCCTTCCTTCCCTCTTTCCTCCCTTTCCTCTGTTTCTTTTCCTTCCTATTTCTCTTCTTTCTTTCATTTCTACCTGTTTCTATCCCTCTTTCTTTGTTCTTTGGTTACATCCTTCCTTCCTTCCTCCCTTCCTTCCCTGTCCTTAGTTCCTTTCACTTATTTATTTCCTTCTCTCCTCGCTTGCTTCTCTATCTTTCTTTCCTTTCTTCTTTCCCTCCCTCTTTCCTTCCCTCTTTCCCTCCTTCTCTCGTTACTTCTTGACTGTCCCTTCCATTTAATTTGTATTGTATAGCAATTATATTATATATATATATATATATATATATATATATGTAACATATAGTAATTATATAACAATATATAAAATATTGTATTTTTATCTTACATAGAAAGAAGGAAAGGAAGAAGGAAGGAAGGAGGGACAGGAAGGAAAGAAAAAGGAAGGGAGGGAGAGAAGGAGGGAAAGGAGGGAAGGAAGGAGGGAAAGGAAGGAGGAGGATGAAGACAGGAGGGAGGGAAGGAAATGAAGAAAGGGAAAAGAAGGAGGAAAGGGAGGAAAAGAAGGAAAGGAAGAAGAAAGGAGGGACAGAAAGGAAGGGAAGGAGGGAAAGAAGGAAAGGAAGGAGAAGGGAGCGACGGGGAGGAAAGGAAGGGGAAGGGGAAGGAAGGAAGAAAAAGGTGAAAACTCCACCTTTTGGGTGGAGTGTGGCAGTCTGGATGTTAATAGGAGTGTGTGTGTGTGTGTGTGTGTGTGTGTTAAATGTGTGCTTGTGTTGCTGGAGACAGCCGAGCAGGTCAAACAGAAAGCAAGCCTCCTCCTCCACTCTCATGGTGCCCACTCTCTCGTGTGTGTGTGTGTGTGTGTGTGTGTGTGGCCACGCACGCTCGCCCGGCTTTAACGGCCGGCTGTTTCCCCGCGAGAAGGAAGACATGCAGTTTCTCCTTTGTGGACATGCACTTCAGAAGTCCTTTCTGCTTTTTGTTTTTGTGGTTTTTTTGAGTGGAGAACATACATTGGGTTGTTAGGTGTCTTGAGTCCAAATTTGGTGCCAATTGCCACAGGGGTTTTTGAGTTCTGTACCACAAACGAACATTACATTTTTATATTATATTATATTATATTATATTATATTATATTATATTATATTATATTATATTATAAGCACAGTGCAGGAGACAAGATGGAACTGCCTTTCTGGCCCCTCTCTTCACTCTGATCTCAGAGCAGCTGTTGATGTTTAGCTTCTGAGATCAGATGAGATTGGGCGTATTCAGGGTGGTATGGCTGTAGTTACATTATTCAGTTGTATCAATATCTAAGCCAGCTCTTAACTGGTTGTTAGGAATTGCAGGAGTTGGAAGTCCAATATACCTGGAAGGCTGAAGTTTGTCCATGCCTGGTCTAGGCACTGTGCTCTTATTGATGCAGCCTAGGATCGTATCGGCCGTGTCACGCTTACCGTCCCTCTGCTTCTCTTCCGCTCCCAGTTCCACATGTCCTACGCCGACAAGGAACGCTACGAGAATGAAGAGAGGCCCGAGGGGCAGAGGCAGATCCTGGCCGAAATGGCGCGGAAATTGCCGGTGTCCACACGCACGGGGAGTGGAGGTCAGTCCTGCTGGTGGCTTGGAAACTGAACCTTTCTCTGGTACCACAAGTTAGCATTCTGATATGTTTGTCAGGAAATTGTAATTATAGATATATGTATTCTCCTACCCTCTAGACCTATGCTTGACTATTGCACTCCACCTTATGCTCGCTCATACTCCCAGCATGCTCCTATCTCTCCTTCCAGATTCTCTTCCCTTTTTCTTTCTGTCTAGGTTTTTTTAGGGGGCGGGGGGCAGTGAGGGAAAGAAAATTTGAATTAGTATTTTGTGTTTTAGCTTTATAATAATAATAATAATAATAAGCACCGGGATTGTGGCGCAGTAGGCTGAGTGTCAGCTGCATTAAGATCACTCTGACCTAAAAAGTCATGAGTTTGAAGCCAGCCCGGTTTGGAGTGGGTTTCCAACTAATTGTGTGTAGCCTGTTGTCGATCTTTGCGACCCGAAAGACAGTTGCATCTGTCAAGTAGGAAAATTAGGTACCACCTTAAAGTGCGGGGAGGCTAAATTAACTGATTTATGAGGCTATAAAGAAGACGCCATACAACTCTTTCTTCCTGCCCCTACTCCACCACCATGGCATCTCTGCCTCCCAGCCCCGCCAAGCCTCACGAGAGTCGTCTCACAGGAGAAGAGGCGCTTCTCGCGAGGCCTGGCCAGGAAGGAGGAGAGCGGCTTGAGCAGCGCGGGAGGCCCTTCTGCTCAGGCTGCTCTCCTTCCTGGCCAGGCCTCACGAGAAGCCTGAGCAGCAGAGTCGTCTTAAACGGCGAGTATATCCCCAATTCTATTTTGTATGTTAAAGTTGGGGGGGGGGGTCATCTTATAGCCCCAGTCGTGTAATACCCCGGAATATACGGTGGTTTTGGTTACATCTTTGCCAAAAAATCTAATAGGTTGCAAGAAGAAGATAAAAAAGGTGAGGATTGTTGGGCCACACCTCCCAACAAAGGATTCCCCCATGAAGGAATCAGCTAGGCTTTGCAGCTGCAAGGCCATTTGGTGCTAATCAAGGTGGCCAGTGGAAACATTCACACTTGCCTCAAGCAGACAAGAGTTCTTTCTCCCACCCTGGAGATTCCACAGATATATAAACCTCCCTTGCCTAGTTTCCAACAGACTTCATGTTGGGGATTCCTCATCTTCGGAAGAGGAAGGGGAGCAGGGAAGTGCTCAGGAATTGGAGGGAGAAAATGAATCAGACAATGAGGGTTTGAAAGTGCCCACATTTCTAGAGAGATGAAGAGAGACAGAGCACAGACGCTGGCAGGCAGAATAGCTGCTAAAAACGCTGAGCTAATTGGGAGACGCCCTAGCACCTCCTGCTATAAATCAGAGGCAGGATTAGTCAGCTTTCGCTGGTAACGACCCTGATACTGCTGTTTTCACTCCCAACGGAATCTATTTCGCGTCTGCTGCTAAGGACTCAGTTTATCGTCTGTTGTCTGATGGAAGGCTAGTGTTTCTTTGAGGATCTTTTATGAGTTTATTATTATTGTATTGTTGTTGTGTTTTACTGATGTATTTGGGCTCGGCCTCTTGTAAGCTGCACCGAGTCCTTTGGGACATAGTAGCGGGGTATAAATAAAGGTTTATTATTATTATTATTATTATTATTATTATTATTGTTGTTGTTGTTGTTGTTGTTATTATTATTATTATTATTATTATTATTATTATTATTATTATCTTCCAAGATACTTGAATTTGTGTCTGGATTAAGACTTCCTTGCTTTCTTTTGCACTTTTCAATTGCATTTGCTTATCCTTTGTGTTTGCTGAAGTAAAGCATTTTTCTTTTACTTTCAATATTGTCAAAAAAAAACCCCGCTGTTTTTGAAGGGCAATTCAGGATACTTATTATTTATTTATTTATTTATTTCATCTACTTATACCCCGCCCCTCTCACCCCGGGGGGGACTCAGGGCGGCTTACAAAGGAGGCACAATTAGATGCCCAAATCACACAACAAACAATACAAAATACAACAGTTCAACAATTAAAATGAAACATCAATACCTATTAAAATCATAAAAACTATCTCATGTCAGAGTCCATATATCAGAGTCCATATATCCATTCCATTCCATTGTCCTTGTCTATCGATAGGTCCTTTAATCAGTTGTCAGCATGGCCAAAAGCTTGGTCCCACATCCAGGTCTTTAGTTTTTTCCTAAACGCTAGAAGGGAAGTCGTCGATCTGATCTCCCCGGGGAGTGAGTTCCACAGGTGGGGGGCCACCACTGAGAAGGCCCTGCTCCTCGTCCCCGCCAGTTTCACTTGTGCCACTGGCGGGGTCGAGAGCAGGGCCTCCCCAGAAGATCTTAAACTTCGAGGTGGGATGTAGAGGGAGATCCGTTCGGACAGATACACTGGGCCGGAACCGTATAGGGTTTTGTAGGTCAAAACCAGCACTTTGAATTGTGCTCGGAATTGGATCGGCAGCCAGTGGAGCTGACGCAACAGGGGGGTGGTATGATCCCTGTACGCCGCTCCGGTGAGCAATCTGGCTGCTTCTCGCTGGACTAGTTGAAGTTTCCGAGCAGTCTTCAAAGGCAACCCCACGTAGAGTGCGTTGCAGTAAGCAGTACTTCACAACCTCTAAGGATGCTTGTCATAGATGTGGGTTAAATGTTAGGAGATAATGCTTCTGGAACATGGCCAGACAGCCCGGAAAACTCATAGCAACCCGGACTCTGAAATGCCTGAGTAATCCTTGCAATAGACTGATATGGTGGGACAATGCTGGGAAAGCAGGGACTTCTGCTTGTTCAGAGAGCCCTGTTTTATCCCTTGCGCTTCGCTCACAAAGGCCGCCGTCTGTTTCTTTCCAGCCATCCGCTTCTGCGACAGATGCCAGCTCATCAAACCAGACCGTTGCCATCACTGTTCCATTTGTGCCATGTAAGTTTATGGGAACGATGGACACTCGTGGTCCCCCCAATGCCGTTTTGTCCCCCTTGGATGCCCTCAGGGTCCTGTTGTACTGCAGAGCTGGAAACAGGGCCCACTTGTCATTAATACACCACACCTTGGTTTAGGACAAACACAATCCTTTTTATTGAATGATGAATATAAAATACTGTATATACTCGAATATAAGCCTAGTTTTCCAGTTTTTAAGGCTGAAAAAGTCCCCCTCGGCTTATACTCGAGTTGTGGTTATTTATTATTTTACTCTGTTATTATTATTATTATTATTATTTAAATTTATTATTTTATTCTATTTATTATTATTACATTGCTTGCTTGCATGCTGGTCGCTTCTGTGGCGAGAGAATCAGCCGTCTATGAAGACGTTGCCCAGGGGATGCCCGGATGTCTTGCAATCCTGTGAGGAGGCTTGTCTCATGTCCCCCACTGCCAGAAGGGACAGAGAGTTTCATCTATGCTGATGATCGTGTCATTACTGCTCAAGCAGGGAGCTTTGAGACTGTAGAACAGAAGCTCTCCGAAGCTCTAGGTGCTCTTACTTCCTATTACAGGGAAAACCAACTGATCCCTAATCCATCTAAAACACAGACATGCACCTTTCACCTTAAGAACAGACAAGCATCCTGAGCTCTGAAGATCACCTGGGAAGGAATCCCACTGGAGCATTACAGCACACCCAAATACCTGGGAGTCACTTTGGATCGTTCTCTGACCTACAAGAAGCAACATCAAGCAAAAAGTGGGCACTAGAAACAACATCATACGAAAGCTGACTGGCACAACCTGGGGATCACAACCAGACACAGTGAAGACATCTGCCCTTGCGCTATGTTACTCTGCTGCTGAGTACGCATGCCCAGTGTGGAACACATCTCACCACACTAAAACAGTGGATGTGGCTCTTAATGAGACATGCCGCATTATCACAGGGTGTCTGCGCCCTACACCACTGGAGAAATTACACTGCTTAGCCAGTATTGCACCACCTGACATCCGCCGGGAAGTAGCAGCCAATAGTGAAAGGACCAAGGCAGAGACATCTCCAGCTCATCCCCTGTTTGGGTATCAGCCAGCACGTCAACGACTTAAATCTAGACATAGTTTTCTAAGATCTACAGAGACACTAGCTGGAACACCTCAGCAAGCGAGAGTCCAAAAGTGGCAGGCTCAAACCCAGCAGCTCAACCAATGGCTGATACCAGATGAGAGACTCCCCCCTGGGCACACAGAAGACTGGGCGACTTGGAAGGCGCTGAACAGACTGCGCTCTGGCACCACGAGATGCAGAGCCAACCTCAGAAATGGGGCCACAAAGTGGAATCCATGACATGCGAGTGCGGAGAAGAGCAAACCACTGACCACCTGCTGTAATGCAACCTGAGCCCTGCCACATGCACAAGGGAGGACCTTCTTGCAGCAACACCAGAAGCGCTCCAAGGGGCCAGATAGTGGTCAAAGGACATTTAACCAGCTACCAAACTCACAAGTTGTGTATTTTTCTGCTTGTTTGCTTTGTTCTGTTAGAAATGTAATATAATGGACTGGTTGCTCTGACACGACAAATAAATAAATAAATAAATTATTGCATTTATCATTTTACTCTATTATTATACATTTATTATTGTACTGTATAATTGTTATTGCTACATTCATTATTTTACTCTTCTTATTGTTATTATTACATTTGTTATGTTGCTTGCTTTATTATTATTGGAAGGATACGTAAGCACATTTACATTGAAGAAGGTAAATAATCATTTAATCAGAGTTGGACAGTCTTATCTTAAATTACCATTTTTGTAAATATTCAAAAATATATAACCTACTGATTTCCTGTCGTAGTTAACTGTGAATCGCACAATGTGGTATTCCTGCGCCAGCGCAGGCCAACTTCGGAACCTTCTAGAAGCTTAAAACTACTGTATCCCCCCTGGCCCCTCCCCCCTCTCTCTCTCGAGTATATAAGACCCCTAGGAGGGGCCAGCCGCCATTCCTCTTTTTTCCGCCGTTAGTAGGCTGTCAACTGGTGAACCTTCATTATTCTAACTATTGGATTTTGACTCGGACTGGACTTTGACTGGACAAGGTACTCTGTTTTCCCCCCACATCGGATTGGATTTGACTGCTTCTCCTTCTACATGGCGACAACTTCTTTTAAGAAGTGTTCGGCTTGCCCCAACATCCTCCCAGACACAGACGGACACGTTCTGTGCCTTACATGTCTGGGAGAAGGGCACCTGTCACAACCCTGTGGCATCTGCGCTGCTTTTACTCCGCAAACGCGGAAAAACAGAGAATCGCGGCTGAAGGCGGCTTTATACGAAAGGGCCCTGCTCCCGCCGCCTGTCAGCAGGCCTCAACCCACTGCGGAGACTCCAGTGCCCGCTAAAGCCAGGCCTGAACAGGCGGTCCTGAAGAAGAAAGTTAAGAAGAGGGCCCCGCAAGATGGCTGCGCCGAGAGCGCACAACCTAGGCCTTCCAGCAAAAAGGCGGGAAAGCCTACCGCCATTGCTCCTCCTTCCCTGCAAAGGGAAAGGTCGCTCCCCCTGCTGGCAAGCATGGGGGAGCTGATGCAGGCCCAACCTCCCCCGATGCTTACCTCATCGACTCCGGGGACCTCAGCTGGGACCGGATCGGGGCCTGCCTCGACGCCGACCGCCTCCCCGCTGGCAGCAGAGCAACCGAGGGAGACGGAGGGTGCAGCGCGTCCTAGGCAGCCGACGCCGGGACAAGCAGCCTCCGCGCCGCGCATCGAGGAGCCTCCCGAAACCGAAAGGCCAGCCTCGGCAGTGGGCGGGGCCACTCCCCTGTTGCCTGCGGCTCCGCCCACAGGAGGGGAGGGGGAGCGCGCTCCGGCATCGGCCGAGAGAAGGAGCCTCTCTCCCCATTCAGCTGAGGGCGTTCCCAGATCAGCTGCTCCGAGGCCGACGACACCGAGAGGGAGCCAGGGAAGCAGGAGACGATCACGCTCCCCTTCGCACCGCAGTCGCCGCACAAGGAGGGCGAGGCGACGGAGAGCATCTAGGGGAAGATCCAGGCCAGGATCCCCCTCCTCCTCATCGGGATCATCCTCCTCCTCCTCCTCTTCCTCCTCTTCGGCGGCATCGAGGGCATCGAGGAGGTCCCATCGCTCTCGACGGCCCCACTCCACCCCCAACCAATGGGGACCTTATGGGCCCAACCCATTTCCCCACCCAGGATTTTGGCAGATGGGCCCACCGGGGCAATTTCTCTACCCTCAACATCCTGCATCTTCCTTTGCCCCTCTTCCGAGAATGGAAGCCATACAGGGGATTCCACAGAGGGGTTTTGGGACCTCAACCACGGTTTTTCCCTCTTCCACCTCTGTGATATCCACAGCAACCCGTCCATCCTTGACTGGACTTGGACAGACAAGCTGTGCTGAACTAAATAATTGTGCTGATGCGAGTTGTGTTGATCAAAATGCTATATGTGTAGAACGTAATTGTGCTGACCGCTCTGTTTCTTTGGTTCAAAATGCAAATGATGCCAATACAGAGGTGATTCTGCCGGCCCATGTAGAGGAGCCCTGCACTCCTCAAATGCCCCAGGAGACAACTGTGACCACGGGTGACCTTAATCCTCCCGAAGTGGAGGACTCAGATTCCTCAACAGAATCTCGGGACCCACAACTTACTCAGGCCTCAGCGGACGCTGCTCCTCTGCCGGCTGATTTCAATAAGTTTTCGTCCCTGGTAGATAGAATGGTTAAGGCGCTTGATATTCCGGCCCCAAGGGCGCCTGAACATGTAGAAGATTTTATGTTTCCTTCGGATGAGCAAAATGTCCCTACATCCACGTCACTTCCAATTTTGCCTTACCTGATAAAGCTTGCTAAGATATTAGACACGCCCCCAACCACAGTGCCTGCTACCCCCAGAAGGGTCGACTCCTTATATAGGATTGATCTGGCTACGGCCAAGTGGGTTTCCAACCCTCCTAAACCGAACACCGTGGTTGCGGAGGTGGTGAAATCAAAAAAACCAAAAAGTACCCTCTCTGCTCCGCCGGATAAGGAGGGAAAAAAGATCGACATGTTGGGAAAGAAAGCGCACTTGGCTGCAGGTTTAGTCACCCGTATGGCGCATTATGCAACGTACATGAGTGGCTATCAGACATTCCTCTAGAATAGGATGCTCCCGCATTTGGAGAAGCTCCCCCCAGAGGAGCAGCGCTTCCCCAAAGCGCTACAGACTGAAGCACTCTTGCTATCGAAGATCCAAAAGGATTTCGCAAAGCACTTGGCAGAGTCGGCGGGGCACTTATTTGCGACAGCGACCTCCATTAGGAGGCACGCATGGTTGAGAGCTGCAAACCTCTCCGAGGAGGGAAAGTCTCTCGCAGAAGAGCTTCCTCTGCACGAGGAGGGCCTCTTCAACCCGGAGACAGACGTGACAATCAAAGAAAAACAAGAAGTCCGCCAAGCTGCCAACAAGTTTGGTTTCACTTGGCAACCCTACCAAAATAAACCCAGATGGCAGGCAGCTCCCAACTCCTATCGTAAGAGCTATACTAATTCTTACTCTGGGTCGTTCAGGGGGAGGGGCCCCTCATCCCCTAGGTACCAGGGAGGCAAGAAAAGTAATTACCAGCCTAAGTCGAGATATCAACCCTATCAGGGTAAACCTAGAAATCAAGGGGCCTCAAGGAAGCGGCTTTGATGCCTGCATGTTGCAACCCCATTCTGTTCTGGCTCAACCCAGCCCTCCGTCAGAGGGAGTTCAAGAGCTTTCTGTTATCCCCTGTTACAATGTTACTTACCTGCCCTCGCATCCACCCACCCCTGTGGTATTCGGAAATAGGCTACAAGCATTCCATTCTAATTGTGCACTAATTACCACCGATAAATGGGTGTTATCGATAATACAACAGGGATATGCCATCGAATTTGTGGACACCCCACCAGTGGGTTTGATCAGAGTTACTCCCCCTTCCGATGTGTTAACTAAGGAAATTGAGGTGCTTCTGGACAAGGGAGCCATCTCACCTGTTCATCCCTCGTTGTTTACACACTGTTTTTTCTCGAGATACTTTGTTGTGTCTAAGAAGGGTGGAGGTTTCAGGGCTATTATGGACCTGAGAGAGCTGAATAAATTCATTTCACCAAAGAAATTTCGCATGGTGACTCTTTCATCTATAATGCCTTTGTTACCGGAGAGCGCATGGTTTGCCACTATAGATCTACGGGATGCATACTTCCATTTGTCGATAGTGCACCATCACCGTAGATTCCTTACCTTCAGAGTAGGCGATAGAACATTCTGTTACAATGTGCTCCCTTTTGGCCTCAGTACGGCCCCCAGGGTTTTTACCAAATGCATGGCGGTGGTGGTGGCCCACCTCCGTACCCGTGGCATCGTGGTATACCCATACATAGACGATTGGCTGATAGTTTCAAGATCAGCGGACCAGCTCCAAACTCATGTGCACATCGTGTTGTGTCTTTTGCAGTTGCTGGGCCTGGTGGTCAACACAGAGAAGTCCTCGTTATGGCCGGCACATGGGATTCTCTTCATCGGGGCTTTCCTGGATGCAGTATCTCAGAGAGCTTACCTCCCGGCGGACAGATTCTCCAATTTGCAGGCACAAGTCCTGAATACTATACATGCCCAGGTAGTATCAGCCCATCAAATCCAAACCCTACTGGGTTATATGGCGTCCACTACAGCAGTGACACCTTTTTCACGCCTCCGTATGCGCCCCCTCCAGGCTTGGTTTGGTACAGTGTTCGACCCCCTCAGGGATTCGCCCCAAGCCAAATTTACCCTGCCTCAGGAGGTCTGTCGTTCCTTAGAGTGGTGGACTCTCCCTCAATTTGTATGTGTCGGTCTTCCTTTCCAGCTCCCATATCCCACCAGGATGATCACAACAGATTCGTCGCTTACAGGATGGGGTGCCCATTCCCAGGGCCTAGTGGCCCATGGCAAGTGGTCTCCAAGCGAGACCGACCTTCACATAAACGTTCTAGAGTTAAAGGCCGTGGAAAGAGCACTAAAGTCGTTCGAAGGGTTAATTCACAGCCAAGTGGTTCAGATATTAACAGACAATACAACTGTCATGTACTATCTGAACAAGCATGGAGGGACTCACTCCCCTCAGCTGCTGAATCTCACACTTCAAATTTGGGAGTGGTGCATCCAGAGGGAGGTGTATCTTCAAGTCTCCCACCTTCCGGGAGAGGAGAATTCCCTGGCGGACACTCTGAGCAGGAATCCACTGGGGAACCACGATTGGTCCCTCAATCAGGGAGAGGCGCTAGAAATCTTCCAATTATGGGGATTCCCGGAGATAGATCTCTTTGCAACCAAGGAGAATACGAAGTGCGTCAGATTCTGTTTGCGCAGGGATCCTCAGAGGACGCAAGAGGGTCTAGGAGATGCGTTTCTCCATCATTGGGGGGGCGTTCTACTGTACGCCTTCCCCCCGTTTCCGTTACTCTTGAGGGTGGTAGCGAAGCTGCAAAGAGACCACTCTCATTGCATTGTGGTGACGCCTTGGTGGCCCCGTCAGCAGTGGTTCGCACCGCTTCTGTAGCTGTCGAGGGGACAGTTTCACAGACTCAACAGCAGAACAGATCTCTTGACATCTCAGAAGGGACAAGTATTGTACCCGGATGTACACCTCCTCAAGCTGACGGCGTGGCTGGTGGTACCGCCTCATTGGGGTTAGAGTTAGCTCTTCCCCAAACGGTTTTGACTATCTTAGAGGCAGCACACAGACCCTCTACGAAAAGATCATATATCTTCAAATGGAACAAATTTACTAAGTTTGCGAGGACAAAGGGACATGAACCAGACATAGCCCCGATTTCAATAGTATTGGATTTTTTAGCGACACTTTATTATTCTGGACTTTCCAATTCATCACTAAAGTGTTATTTAGCGGCCATTTCTTGGTTTAGAAGGAAGAAGGGTCTTCCTTCCTGTTTTGTTGACCCGTTGGTCAAACTTTTTTTAAGAGGTCTTCAAAATGTAAGACCTCCGGTGGCTCCCATAGTTCCCTCATGGAGCTTGGAGTTGGTGCTCTCTACTTTGATGAAGCCCCCCTTTGAGCCTATGGCCTCATCGGAATTAGGACTACTAACTTGGAAGGTGGCGTTCCTAGTAGCCATAACTTCGGCTAGACGGGCTAGTGAACTATGTGCCTTACGAGTGGATCCTCCGTATCTAAAATTTCATAGCGACAAGGTAGTTTTGCGGATGGATTTAGCGTTTTTACCTAAAGTGGCCACCAAATTTCATGTTTCACAGGATATTGTCTTGCCAGCATTTTTCCAAAACCCTGAGACTCCGTTGGAGAGAGGGTTGCACTCTCTGGATGTCAGAAGGGCATTGTCTTTCTATGTCCATAGAACAGCTGAGTTCAGGAAGTCTCCGAGACTCTTTGTGAAGTATCGGAAGGACACTAGGGGGCTCCCAGTTTCCTCTCAGCGTTTTTCGGCATGGATTGTGTCAACAATTCGTACCTGTTATAGGCTGGCAGGGAAAGAATTGCCACAGCAGGTTAGAGGGCACTCTACGAGGGCTGTGGCTACTTCGACCGCCTTTATGAAGGGTGTTCCTTTGGAAGCCATTTGTAAGGCGGCCACATGGGCTTCTCCCACTACTTTTGTCTCTCACTATAAGGTGGACAAAGTATCTCGGAGAGAAGCTGATTTTGGTAGAGCGGTGTTGTTTTCTGCGGTGGCATGACCCCACCAACCAGAATTACAGCTCGCTAGTCTACCACATTGTGCGATTCACAGTTAACTACGACAGGAAATGGAAGGTTGCTTACCTGTAACCGTGGTTTCCTGAGTAGTTACCTGTGAATTCGCACAAACCCTCCCTCCTCCCCTCGAGTGTCATGCCACCCCTTCTGGCTGCTGAGCGGCGGAAGAGGAATGGCGGCTGGCCCCTCCTAGGGGTCTTATATACTCGAGAGAGAGAGGGGAGGGGCCAGGGGGGATACAGTAGTTTTAAGCTTCTAGAAGGTTCTGAAGTTGGCCTGCACTGGCGCAGGAATACCACATTGTGCGAATTCACAGGTAACTACTCAGGAAACCACGGTTACAGGTAAGCAACCTTCCATTCCTCAATTAATGTAATTTAATTTGTATCTATTTTTATTTTGCAATTTACCAGTAGCTGCTGCATTTCCCACTCTCGGCCTATACTCGAGTCAAACGTTTTTCTCAGTTTTTTGTGGTAAAATTAGGTGTCTCGGCTTATATTCGGGTCGGCTTATACTCAAGTATATACGGTAGATTGAAGTCCAGAGGTAAAAAGCCAAAATGAAGCAGCAAACAGCAATGTCCAGAAAGCTTGCAGGAAATCCAAAGCAGTAATGTCCAGAAAGCTCTCAATAGAAATCCATGAACAGATTAGCCTCAGCTAATTCTCACTTGAAACCAGAAATTCCCTTAGAGACCAGACCACTGGAAACTGGAAAACCCAGGAGGTTTGTACTTGATTCTAAACCAGTGGTTCTCAACCCTCCTAATGTTGCGACCCCTTAATACAGTTCCTCATGTTGTGGTGACCCCCAACCATAACATTATTTTCATTGTTACTTCATAAATGTAATTTTGCTACTGTTATGAATCCTAATGTAAATATCCGATCTGCAGGATGTATTTTCATTCACTGGACCAAATTTGGCACAAATACCCAATATGCCCAAATTTGAATACTGGTGGGGTTGGGTGGAGGGACTGGTTTTATCATTTGAGAGTTGTACTTGCTGGGAATTATAGTTCATCTACATTCAAAGAGCATTCTGATCTTCACCAGTGATGGAACTGAACCAATCTTGGCACACAGGACTCCCATGACCAACAGAAAATACTAGAAGGGTTTGGTGGGCATGGATCTTGAGTTAGGGAGTTGTAGTTCACCTACATCTGTGGACTCAAACAATGATGGATCAGGATCAAATTTTGCACAAATACTCAATATTCCCAAATGTGAAAACTAGTGGAGTTTGGGGGAAATAGACCTTGGCATTTGGGAGTTGTACTTGCTGGGATTTATAGTTCACCTACAATCAAAGAGCATTCTGAACCCAACCAACAAAAGAATTGGACCTAACTTGCCACACGTAACCCAGATGACCAAGAGAAAATACTGTGTTTTCTGATGGTCTTTGGTGACCCCTCGGACACCCTCTCGCGACCCCCCCCCAGGGGTCCCGATTCCCAGGTTGAGAAACACTGTTCTCAACGATGCTTGGTCTGAGAAAATCCCCCTTACGGGCACTCTTAAATCCCAGAAACTGATTCCGGCTAACTCTAATATTTGGTTTCAGTTGTCGGATTCTCTCGGACCTACGTAAACATTGAGCCTCCCTGCGGTTCTGGCTTATCTCCAAACTGCGGCTATTATTGTTGACCCGACCAGGTGTCAAGTTATCCTGCAAGCTCAGGCCAGGAGGAAAAGGGAGTGAATTTTCTTCTCTCGGTCTGACAGAAACTTTCTCATGAGAACTGGGCTTTCCCCCTGAAGCCTCTAAATTAGAGCCTGTAGGGTTTTTACTGCCCAAAGTGTCTCCCATCTTGAGCCTCGTCCTCATTGAGCCTCACTATCCAAACTAGGCCCATCAACATTAGCATCATCATTAGGCAATACAATCAGAGATTCAGGCTCAGGTTCATACATAGGCTGAGTCCCAACAGGTCCCCTCACATTGAGCTGGTTGTCATAACTCTGAGACAACACAAAGGCACACAATATTGTACTGTCCGGTTGCACACAGGATGGTTGTGTGACCCAGAAAGGCTGTGGACCTTCGTTATTTACTTTATTTACTATTTGTGTGGCACCCCGTTTAAAACCCCATTTTCCTTCTTACAGGTGCGTATTAAAAATGGACCACCATTGTCCTTGGTGAGTTTGGGTTTCCTTTTTAATTGTGCTGATGGATTGTTGTTCTTTCTTGTTGTTGTTCAGCTAAAGAGATCCACACTTGGTAACCTTTCTTCCCTAGAGGAATCACTCCAGTCCTCATTTACTGTTTTTGAGCAATTCTGCCATTTGTATACAATATTCTTCTTGAGAATATTCTCAAGCTGTCCTTTGGGGTTGATTGAGTAGGTCTTGTTGTGCAAGTGGGCTTATTGACAAAAGACCCTCCTCATAAATGCACAGCAGAGTAACTTATTAGCAGCAGCATGACACAGCACCAGTTGCCCAAAGTGATAAAAAAACAAAAACATACAGACTAATGTTATCTCTTCCTTTGGAGGCTTTTCTTTGTAGTAAAATCTAGATAAATAAAAATGTAATGTTCGCTTGTTTTAGAGGTACCTAATTTCTCTAATTACATCTCAAGCTGTTTTCAAGCTGCTTAGGTCAACAGTAAGCTGGGCTGACAGTTGCCATTTCACGCCGACTCGGGGCTTCGAACTAGCAACCTTTTGATTAATAGATCTTATCATTGTGGTGATTTACCAGCTGTGCTAAAGCCCAGCCCGCTCGTTGCACTATCTACAAGAACGAGTTTTCCATAACACAAATAAGCACTTACATAGTAGCTTTGCACAAAGCAGCCTTCACACTGGAGCTTTCTCACACGAGGCTTCTCTCACACAGAGGTTTACCTCATACTCCTCAGGATGACACTAGCTTTAGCTCACTGACTCTAACAGGCTTCGGCCTACTAACTCTTTCAGTGCTTGACTCACACTTTTGTAATAAAAATACCTTTTCAATTGCTTCCAGTTCTTTTTTTAAGAAATTGTATTAAATTTTATATAGAATACAACAAAAGAGTAAGAACAATAAAGTATAGGAAAGTGAAGAAAGAAAAAGAAAGGGAGAGGCCAATAAAGTAAAAAATAAAAACAACATCTTCTTATTTTATATTCATATTTGCCAACTTTGGCTCCCTGTATCATTTGGTCTTCTCTTATTGCCTTCATTAATGGTTCTAATGCCATTATAAATATCAGTGGAGACAGGGGACATCCCTATCTAGTTCCCTTCAGTATGTCGTTTGACCATTTATTTTTAGTTTAGCCTTTTGTAGATCATATATCGCTTTTATTGCATTAGAAAATTTATCTCCCATGTCCAATTCTTGTATTAGAGTCTTAAAAAAATCCCAGTTTAGATTATCAAAAGCCTTCTCTGTGTCCAAGGCTAGTATGGCAAATTCTTTTTGATGATTCTGTTCATAATATTCTATTAAATCCAATACCAGCCTTATATTGTCCTTCATAAATCTATTTAGTAAATAGATTTATCAGTAAATTGGTCTTCTTCAATCCAGTTTCTTAAGAAATTTTTTACTCTGTCCACCAATATGTTCGCCAAAATCTTATAATCAGTATTCAATAAAGAAATTGGTCTGTAATTTTTAATCTCCGTCTCGCAGGTTCCTTCTTTATGAGTCAGTACTATTTCTGCCTTCGTCCAAGTTTCTGGAATTTTCTGCTTAGTCATCACTTCATTTAATACCTTTTTTTTTTTGGCTTCTAGTTCTTTTGGGGACACCATTGTGCTGAACCCACTTTTTCTTTTATCCTTTGCTCTCCAGGGTGAACAACTGCATTGGATTTTCTAATTACAAATTCTTCCTGCTGTTTCTAGCCTACACGCTGTTGTACTGCATGTTCATTGCTGCCACGGTCTTCAAGTATTTCCTCAAGTACTGGACGGTAAGTGTGGGGATAGGGCCCTTTCCCTCATTTTTCTACTGCTCCAAAGGAAAATGCCTCTTAGCATTTCAAAGATATCGAAAATAGTGCAAAATACCCCAAATCCTTCCATTGTATATAATATATTACATGTAATATTGCAGTATAGTGGGATAGAACAATATAGTAATTCATTATGCTAATGATGTGCTATGCTGATTATATAATATATTGCATGTACATATAATATTAATCATAATATTGTAATACAACATAATACTAATAATAATACAATATAATTGTATATTATATATTACATGTAATATTGCTGTATAGTGGTATAGAACAATATAGTAATACATAATGCTAATCATGTGCGATGCTGATAATATAATATATTTCATGTACATATAATATTAATAATAATATTGTAATGCAATATAATACTAATAATAATACAATATAATAATTGTATATTATATATTACATGTAATATTTTAGTATAGTGGGATAGAATAATATAGTTATATATAATGCTAAACATGTGCTATGCTGATAATATACTATATTTCATGTGCATATAATATTAATCATAATATTATAATACAATATAATACTAATAATACAATATAATGATTGCATATTATATATTACATGTAATATTGCAGTATAGTGGGATAGAACAACATGGTTATATAAAATGCTAATGATGTGCTATGCTGATAATATATTACATGTACATATATTAATAATAATATTGTAATACAATATAATACTACTAATAATGCAATATTATAGTATAATTATTATATATTATATATTACATGTAATATTACCAATAATAATGCAGTATGGTGGTATCATAATATTGTAATACAATATAATACTAATAATAATACAATATAATAATTGTATATTATATATGACATGTAATATTGCTATAATATTGCAATATAGTGGTATAGTAAGAGGGGCCGACCAAGGGCAAGATGGATGGATGGCATCCTTGAAGTGCCTGGACTGACCTTGAAGGAGCTGGGGGTGGTGACGGCTGACAGGGAGCTCTGGCGTGGGCTGGTCCGTAAAGTCACGAAGAGTCGGAGACGACTGAACGAATGAACAACAACAACACAATATAGTCATATATAATGCTAATGTTGTGCTATTCTGATAATATAATGCATGTATATATATTAATCATAATATTATAATACAATATAATACTAATAATAATACAATATAATAATTGTATATCATATATTACATGTAATATTACTAAATATTGCAGTATAGTGGTATAGTACAATATAGTCATATATAATGCTATTATTGTGCTATGCTAATAATATGATATATATTGTATGGACATATAATATTGATCATAATATTGTAATACAATATAATACTAATAATAATACAATATAATAATTTAATTATTATAGATTATATATTACATGTAATATAACCAATAATATTGCAGTAAAGTGGTATAGTACAATATAGTAATATATAATGCTAATATTGTGCTATGCTAATAATATATATATTGTATGGACATATAATATTGATCATAATATTGTAATACAATATAATATATGTATATTATATATTACATGTAATATTACTAATAATATTGCAGTATAGTGGTATAGTACAATATAATCGTATATAATACTAATATTGTGTTATGCTAATAATATAATATATATTGTATGGACATATAATATTGATAATAATAATAATAACAACAACAACAACAACAACATAATACTACTAATAATCTATATAAATAAAAATGTAATGTTTGTTTGTGGGATTAACAAAACTCAAAAACCACTGGACAAATTGACACCAAATTTGGACACAAGACACCTGACAACCCAATGTATGTCCACTCAAAAACATGATTTTGTCATTTGGGAGTTGTAGTTGCTAGGATTTATAGTTCACCTACAATCAAATAGCATTCTGATTTCCACCAGTGATGGAATTGAACCAAACTTGGCATACAGAACTTCCATGACCAACAGAAAATACTGGAAGGGTTTGGTGGGCAGTGTCCTTTGGTTTTGGAGTTGTAGTTCACCCAGATTCAGAGAGCACTGTGGACTCAAACAATGATGGATCTTGACCAAACTCTACATGAATACTCAATATGCCCAAATGTGAACATGGTGGAGTTTGGGGAAAATAGAATCTTGACATTTGGGAGTTGTAGTTGCTGGGATTTATAGTTCATCTACAATCACAGAGCATTCTGAACCCCACCAACAATAGAATTGGGCCAAACCTCCCATACAGAACCCCCATGTGAGCCACAGCAACGCTTGGCAGGGGATGGCTAGTATTAATCATAATATTGTAATACAATATAATACTAATAATACACTATAATATATGTATATTACATATTACATGTAATATTACTAATAATATTGCAGTATAGTGGTATAATACAATATAATTGTATATAATACTAATATTGTGTTATGCTAATAATATAATATATATTGTATGGACATATAATATTGATCATAATATTGTAATACAATATAATAATACAATATAATAATAATAATAAAGCAATATAATACTAATAATAATACAATATAATACTATATTATATATTACATGTAATATTACTAATAATATTGCAATATAGTGGTATAGTACAATATAATGGTATATAATACTAATATTGTGTTATGCTAATAATATAATATATATTGTATGGGCATATAATATTGATCATAATATTGTAATACAATATAATAATACAATATAATAATATAATAATAATAATAATAATAACAATATAATACTAATAATAAGACAATGTAATAATTCTATATTATATATTACATGTAATATTACTAATAATATTGCAATATATTGGTATAGTACAATATAATCGTATATAATACTAATATTGTGTTATGCTAATAATATAATAAATATTGTATGGACATATAATATTGATCATAATATTGTAATACAATATAATAATACAATATAATAATAATAATAACAATAGAATATTAATAATAATACAATATAATAATTCTATATTATATATTACATGTAATATTACTACCGTATATTCCGGCATATAAGACGACTGGGAGTATAAGACGACCCCAGTTAAAATATAGAGTTAAGACGACTCCCATGCATAAGACTACACCCGCATATAAGACGACCCCTGACTGTTGAGAAGATTTTCTTGAGTTAAAAAGTAGTCTTATACGCCAGAACATACTGTAATAATATTGCAGCATAATGGTTTAATAATAGAGGAGCCTGTCCTGAACCATAGCGCTGCCTGGCTCCAGTGGCTGCCCTGATATTTGGGAAGTTTACCCTCCATGTCACCCCTCTTCTGCCCTTTCCTTTCAGGGGGAACTGAGTGGGGGCCGCTCCAAGTTCCACGTCCTTTTCCTTCTCATCGTATCGGTCATGTTCTTTGTCACCCTCACCTTCCTCTTCGGCTACCATTGCTGGCTCGTCAGCCAAAACCGGTCCACGTTGGGTAAGAGCCTTCAACAAAGGGAATTAATTCGTAGTTCTGAAGGGATTAATTCACACCCGGCACACATTCTGGGGTTGGTGGGCAGATCATAGAATCCAGTCCATTTTAAAAACATAAAATTTCAAATTATTTCATTTTACTCTTAGTACCATGTACCGTATAGACTCGAGTATAGCCGACCCGAATATAAGCCGAAGCACCTAATTTTATCACAAAAAACTGGGAAAACGTATTGAGTATAAGCCGAGGGTGGGAAATGCATCCACTATGGGTCAATTTCAAAATAGAAATAGATACCAATAAAATTACATTAACTGAGGCATCAATAGGCTAAATATTTCTGAATATTTACATAAAACTGTAATTTAAGATAAGACTACAACTCTTATTAAACCATTATTCTAACCTCCTTCAATGTAAATGTACTCATTATTAAAAGAATAAAAATAATAGAGTAAAATAATGAAAATGCAATAAAAACAGTAATAATAGAGTCAAATAATGTAGTAATAATAGGGTAAAATACTGTAAACTTAATAATAATAATAATAATAATAATAATAATAATAATAATAAATAGATTAAAATAATAAATGTAGTAATAATAATAATAATTATGTGTTGTTGAAGGCTTTCATGGCTGGAATCACTAGGTTCTTGTGGTTTTTTTCGGGCTATATGGCCATGTTCTAGAGGCATTTTCTCCTGACGTTTCGCCGGCATCTATGGCAAGCATCCTCAGAGGTAGTGAGGTCACCTCACTACCTCTGAGGATGCTTGCCATAGATGCAGGCGAAACGTCAGGAGAAAATGCCTCTAGAACATGGCCATATAGCCCAAAAAAATCCACAAGAACCTAATAATAATAATAATAATAATAATAATAATAATAATAATAATAATAGGGTAAAATACCATAAATATAATAATAATAGAGCAAAATAATAAATAGAATAATAATACAGCAAAATAATGTAAATATAATAATAATAGAGTAAAATAATAGATGTAATAAAATAATACTAATAACAGAGTAAAAGAATAAATAACCTTGACTCGAGTATAAGCCGAGGGGAGCCTTTTCAGGCTAAAAAAGGAGCTGAAAAACTAGGCTTATACTCGAGTATATACAGTATTTTAAGATTTGCGTATTATAGAAATATGTTTAATATATGCATTTCGCTGTATGTATTTATGGTGTGTTGTGCCCCACCTTGAGCCATGAGGAGAGGTGGGTAACAAACTCAACAATTATTTTATTGTTGTTATAATAATTATCGTTGTTGTCATAGAATCATAGAGTTGGAAGAGACCACGTGGGCTCTCTAATCCAACCCCTTTTGGCCATCCAGGAAAAGCACAATCAAAGCACCCAAGACAGATGGCCATCCAGCCTCTGTTTGAAAGTTTCCAAGGAAGGAGCTTCCACCAGACTCTGAGGCAGGGAGTTCCAGTGCTCAACAACTCGTACAGTCAGGAAGTTCTTCCTTTTTTAAAAAAATATTTTTTATTGAGTTTTGAATCCAATAACAGAAAAAAGAAAGATCCCGATGGTGTCTAGGCACTTGATGATCCAACTGTGTGGGAGTGAGTCAAAGGCTTTTTGACTCAACTACAGATCCCGATTGTGTCTAGGCACTTGATGATCCAACTGTGTGGCAGTGAGTCAAAAGCTTTTTTGTAGTCAATCCACATCATGTGAAGATTGGTTTTAGCAGGTCCAAAATGATGCTTGTGTCTACCAAGAACCCAGAAAAAGGGCATCATCATTATTAATATTATTATTTAAAACTTTTATATCCCGATCTTCTCTACCTCCGTAGAGGGACTCAGGCCGGCTTACAGCAAGGATTCAGTGCTAATAATACAAACTAAAACATCATATAACAATACAAGAGTACAATGAGTCTCCCTGGAAAATTCCTCTTCTGATGTTGTTGTTATTAATATTATTATTATTATTATTATTATTATTATTAAAACTGACTTAAGACGATGTATAGGTGGTACATCACCCCTCAAAGGCTGTCAGATTGTTACAAAAACACATCAAACAAGTGTTGGAAACAAGTGGGCACTTTTTTTCACAGCTGGTGGACCTGTGATAAATGTTGCAAATCAGAGTAAGCTTCACCTTGCTTCCAAACACCACCACACAAGAGCTGTAGTTTTATAGTTTATTGAGGAAAAAATCCAAGTCAAAATAAAGAATAAGCATTGCAAATTTCCAAAGATAAAGCTTAAATGCAGAATATAGTTCCAAAGATCTTCAGGTAAAAGCAAGAGACATAATCCTATTGGCACAGTTCAAACCAGAGTCCCAGGTACAAGCAATGAAACAATTGCCCCATGAATCACAATGCAAGAAATCCCAAGCGTACTGCTTTCCAGGCTAAGGTTATTCCATGAAGCTTCCAGGCTAATAAGCTATGTTGAACTGACGCTTTCCCTTGGTTTGCAAGAAGCCTAAATACCTTTCTAACATGAAAACATTACATGAAATCATTGCAATGACCTTTCACTGAGCTGGCTTCTCGTCTGCCGGCCAGGCGAGAACTCTGCCTGACTCGCAAGTCAAGACAAGCTTGCTGGGTCAGGTCACTATCAAGGCTTTCAGTACTTTCAGTATCAGCCTGGGAAGGAGGCAAATGCCTCTCCACCTGTTCGCTATCTCCTTCGTTAAAATTCTTTTCTCCTGAGAACCGCTGTGTTGATGTTGACTCTGCACTGTCTGACTCTGTACTGTCTGTGGGAGCTGCAGGCCCAGAGATCTGAGGCACAGAAAACGAGCCAGGAATCTGAATTCCATCATCCTCGTCATCACAGAACATCTCAGCCACAACAATAAAGCAAAGAAATTTTGGAGGGAAATTCATGATAAAATACAAAAAATCTTTTTTATATAAATTTCAGATTAGAACCAAAATATTACCTACTTGGGATTGTAGACTGGGAAAAGGGAAAAGGCAAAGATAAAGAACCTTTGTATAGTCATATGGCAATAATAATAATAATAATAAAATAATATAAAGTGCTGGAGAAAACAAACTCCTTGTCTTTGCTTGCAGAGGCTTTCTCGGCTCCGGTGTTTCCCAACGGCCCCGATAAGAACGGGTTCAACCTCGGCGTGGGGAAAAACCTCAGGCAGGTGTTTGGAGAGAAGAAGAGACTCTGGTTCATCCCCGTCGTATCCAGGTCAGTTGCGGTTATTTTATTTTATTTATTTATCGTGCCAGGGCAACCAGTCGATTATATTACATTTCTAACAGAACAAAGCAAAGAGACAGACAAAATGCAAAATTTGCGAGTTTGGTAGTTGATTAAATGAACTTTGACCAGTATTTGGCCACTTGGAGTGCTTCTGGTGTTGCTGCAAGAAGGTCCTCCATTGTGCATGTGGCTGGGCTCAGGTTGCATTGCAGTAGGTGGTCAGTGGTTTGCTCTTCTCCGCACTTGCATGCTGTGGATTCCACTTTGTGGCCCCATTTCTTGAGGTTGGCTCTGCATCTCGTGGTGCCAGAGCGCAGTCTGTTCAGCGCCTTCCAAGTCGCCCAGTCTTCTGTGTGCCCAGGGGGGAGTCTCTCATCTGGTATCACCCACGGATTGAGGTGCTGGGTTTGAGCCTGCCACTTTTGGACTCTCGCTTGCTGAGGTGTTCCAGCGAGTGTCTCTGTAGATCTTAGAAAACTATTTCTAGATTTAAGTCGTTGACGTGCTGGCTGATACCCAAACAGGGGATGAACTGGAGATGTCTCTGCCTTGGTCCTTTCACTATTGGCTGCTACTTCCCGGCAAATGTCAGGTGGTGCAATACCGGCTAAGCAGTGTAATTTCTCCAGTGGTGTAGGGCGCAGACACCCCGTGATAGTGCAGCATGTCTCATTAAGAGCCACATCCACAGTTTTAGTGTGGTGAGATGTGTTCCACACTGGGCATGCAGACTCAGAAGCAGAGTAGCACAGTGCAAGGGCAGATGTCTTCACTGTGTCTGGTTGTGATCCCCAGGTTGTGCCAGTCAGCTTTTGTATGATATTGTTTGTAGCACCCACTTTTTGCTTGATATCCAGGCAGTGCTTCTTGTAGGTCAGAGCACGGTCCAGAGTGACTCCCAGGTATTAGGGTGCGCTGCAATGCTCCAGTGGGATTCCTTCCTTCCCAGGTAATAATCCTCAGAGCTCGGGATGCTTGTCTGTTCTTAAGGTGAAAGGCACATGTCTGTGTTTTAGATGGATTAGGGATCAGATGGTTTTCCCTGTAATAGGCAGTAAGAGCACCTAGAGCTTTGGAAAGCTTCTGTTCTATCATCTCAAAGCTCCCTGCTTGAGCAATAATGGCACGATCATCAGCATAGATGAAACTTTCTGTCCCTTCTGGCAGTGGCTGGTCATTTGTGTAGATGTTGAACATGGATGGAGCAAGCACGCTCCCCTCAGGCAGGCCGTTCTTCTGTTTCCGCCATCTGCTTCTCTGGCCCTGGAACTCAACAAAAAAGTTCCTGTTTTGTAGCAGGTTTCCTATGAGGCGGGTGAAGTGGTCCTTTGTGATATTATACATTTTTCTCAGGAGGAGGCAGCGGTGGTTCACAGTCTCATAGTTGCAGTGGAGGAGACGAAAGGGGCCTGGATTCAGGAAGCGGCCTTTCAGGGAAGACGAGGAGATGCCAAAGCAGCCATTGAGGCAGCACTGGGATAGGTCCAGTTGCTACTGGGGGGGGGGGGGACCCACTCTGAGGTCTTATTTATTTATTTATTTATTTATAACATTGATATTCCGCCCTTCTCACCCCGAAGGGGACTCAGGGCGGAGCACAACATTCAATGCTGGGACACAAATTCTTATATACATACATAAACATTTAAAACATTTATCAAAATACTAGCTATCCCCTGCCACGCGTTGCTGTGGCCCAGCCTGTGTAGATGTGTTTTGAGTGTGTATATATTTGTGTGAATCTGTCTATATGTGTGTTTGTGTATATATATGTGGTTTTAAGCATGCATTGTAATGTATTTTTTGTTTTTTGGCTTTTTAAGTCTCTTATGCTGTGTGTCAAGGTCAGACGCCAGCCAATTCAAGAAGTATCGTTTATTGCTCAAACAAACACAAAACAGCCCAAAACAAAACCACAGGGCAAAAAACACTTAGTCTTCAGTGCGAAACAGTTCAAAAAAGGCAAAAGAACCCACAAAACCCCAACCGGACTATAACCTGGATTATCCAGAGATATAATCCGTGTTAAACACGAAATGCGTAATTCAGCTCTAACTTGCTTAGACAAACAGCAGAAGCAAAGCAAACTGTAGAATGATGTTCACAGCCACTCTAGTGAGCAGCAGCCTTTCAAGGGTTGCAAAATGTAACCTGAGCCTCAAACACTGTAGGAAACGCCACGCTGAACTCCGAGGCTGGAATGCAGGGAGGATGATAACGCCAAACCCAGAAACACAGCCGCGGACGTGGAAGGGAGAGTAACGCCGATAGTTGAAGTCGAGTCCAGTCCAGTCCGAAAGGCTGCAAGGTCAGGTCCCGATCCAATGGAAGTCACAAGGAGCCAAAGCAACGGGGGCAATACGGTAGCTAATGCAAATATCAAAACAGTGCAGTCTAGCAGAAACCCACAGTTCCAGCCCCCTTTGCTGCTTAAACCTAGAGCATAACTTACGTCCCAAAGTCTTCTTCCAAACCCGTCTTCTGTAACACAACGATCCAGAAAGCGCCCAACAAGACACCTTGCCGATTGCAAAGTTACAATTGCAAACACTCCCATTTTATCAACAACTCCTCATCAGAACTTGATTCAGCCAACACCCTCGTCCCAGCTGCATCCTGTTGTAACTCCTCATCTGAACTGGAGTTGCCCCTAGTTCGGCCCAACCCATCCCCAACTGTGCCTCTTCCACCACTCCTCCAAGTAGTCATCTCTGGTCTAATCCTGAAGTTCCCCAAGACCCATCCGTGCCTTCACTACTCCAACCTTCAAACGTGCCACTGCTTGTGGGTTCAGCACAAATATCCCAAATCTCTTGAACCCTTGTCCAATCCAACCCATCAGACCCAGAGTCTGATATCCCATCATCCATATCATTTGCATCAAAACCTTCAAAAGAATCTGCATCTGTTGGCTCACTAAGTATATCCCGGATTCTTTTCCTCTGTTGCTCTTCCTCATAGTCTTGCTCGCGAGTAGTTTTCCTGCCTCTCCTAATACAACTAGTGTTACTATCACTGCCAGCAGACTCTATCACAACACTGTGCTTTTCAGTGTTTTTATGAGTGATGGTCACTTGTTGGCCTGAGAGTCTTGTGTCCAAATTTGGTGTCTATTCATCCAGTGGTTTTTTTTAGTTATGTTAATCCCACAAACGAACATTACATTTCTATTTATATAGATGAAAATACACAATTTAAAACCATCCTAGTCATCCACGTCAAATCTAATTGGTCGTCATTCCTATTGCCGCTTTATTGCCTTGTCCCGAAAGCTTGGTCCCACAGCCAAGTTTTGACCATCCTTCTAAAGGACAGGAGGGAGGGGGCTGACCTGATCTCACCAGGAAGGGAGTTTCATAGCTGGGGAGCAATCACCGAGAAGGCCCTGTCTCTCGTCCCCACCAATCGTGCCTGTGACAATGGGTCAAAATAATAAATAGGTTAAAATAATAAATGTAATAATGACAATAATAATAAAGTAAAATAATATATGTAATAATAATGATAGAGTAAAATAATAATTGTTATAGTAATAGTAAATAGAGCAAAATTATAAATGTAATATAAATAAAAATAATGTAAATGTAATAACAATAATAATAGAGTAAAATAATAAATGTAATAATAAAGTAAAACAATGTGAATGTAATAATAATAGAGTAAAAATAAAGGTAATAAAAACAACAATAATAGAGTGAAATAATGTAATAATAATAGAATAAAATAATAAATGTAATAAAAATAATAATAGAGTAAAATAATGGAAATGTAATAATAATAATAATACAGTAAAATAATAATTGTTATAGAAATATTAAATAGAGCAAAATTATAAATGTAATAAAAATAAAAATAATGTAAATGTAATAATAATAATAATAGAGTAAAATAATAAATGTAATAAAGTAAAACAATGTGAATGTAATAATAATAGAGTAAAAAATAAAGGTAATAAAAACAATAATAGAGTGAAATAATGTAATAATAATAGAATAAAATAATAAATGTAATAAAAATAATAATAGAGTAAAATAATGTAAATGTTATAATAATAATAATAGAATAAAATAATAAATGTAATAATAAAGTAAAACAATGTGAATGTAATAATAATAGAATAAAAAATAAAGGTAATAAAAACAATAATAGAGAAATAATGTAATAATAATAGAATAAAATAAGAAATGTAATAAAAATAATAATAGAGTAAAATAATGTAAATGTAATAATAATAACAATAATAGAGTAAAATAATAAATGTAATAATACATAAAGTAAAACAATGTGAGAGCCGTTCAGCAGTGGAACTCTCTGCCCGGGGTGTGGTAGAGGCTCCTTTGGAGGCTTTTAAACAGAGGCTGGATGGCCATCTGTCGGGGGTGATTTGAATGCAATATTCCTGCTTCTTGGCAGAATGGGGTTGGACTGGATGGCCCATGAGGTCTCTTCCAACTCTTTGATTCTATGATTCTAAATGTAATAATAATAAATAGAGTAAAAAAATAAAAGTAATAAAAACAACAATAATAGAGAGAAATAATTAATGTAATAATAATAGAATAAAATAATAAATGTAATAATAAAGTAAAACAATGTGAATGAAATAATAAATAGAGTAAAAAATAAAGGTAATAAAAACAATAAAAGAGGGAAATAATAAACGTAATAATAATATATTAAAATAATAAATGTAACAATAAATAGAGAAAATAATGCAAATGTAATAATAATAAATAGAGTAAAATAATAAAAATAATAAAAAACAATAATAGTAGAGTAAAATAATAAATGAAATAATAATAACAAGTAGAATAAGATAATGTAAATGTAATGATAATAATAGTGTAAAATAATAAATGTAATAATAATAACAACAACAACAGAGTAAAATAATAAATAACTGACGAGCAAAAAGGGGGTTCAGACTAAAAGAAGGGCTGAAAAATTAGGCTTATATATAGGTATTGTTTTTGCTATTTTTCCTACATTATCTTTATTTCTTTATGCTCAACTGATATAAAAAAATACTAAACAAAGGGAGCTGGGTGAAGGGGTAATTGATCCAAGCCGCATTTGGAGCCTGTCCTGTCTTCCGCATCTGTCTCTGCAGTCAAGGCGATGGACACTACTTCCCAACGCGAACCTTAAGCGAAGCGCGGAATCCGCTGCTGGCGAACGAGGAACAGTGGGAGGAAGACGACGGGGTGGACGACAACCATCACGGTAAGATCTTTACTCCAGCAAAACCACAAGCTTTGTATGCCAGAACTTTACTGAAACCAATCAGCATTTGTACCTGAATTATTCAAGCCTGTTCAATAAAAGTTCTTGTTATTTTTATCAACTTATACCAGCCTCAGTGTGAATACCTTTGTGGTAAAAGTGTTATCCAATAGATAGGAAAGAGGGTGTATGGTATAGAGTAGTGTAATACTTCTCATATAGGTATTCAATTTATCCACATTTCACATAAGTATACTCTTAACATTGTATACTTATGTGAAATGTGGATAAATTGAATACCTATATGAGAAGTATTACACTACTCTATACCATACACCCTCTTTCCTATCTACTGTATATTATAGACATCTGTGCATTTAGTTAAAAAGTGTTATCCAAGCCAGCTTTTTAACAGCCTCAAAGAAACTATAGTGACACGGAGTGGGTTACAGAACAACCTCTCAATAATACCTCAGCCTGTTCATTAGCAATATGGTGGCAGCGGAAATCATTTAAAGAATCATTTTTAAGTCTCTCAGTTCCAGTGGTTCCCAGTTCCTAGCTTTTAAATATTCAATTGGTTCAACAACAATACTCCCTCTATATTTTGGTGAGCTAGTCTGTATTGGTGGTGTCATTGTTATAATTTGGTAGGCTGCTGTGTGATCGTTACAATTTGAGCGAAGCGGCGTTGGGATTTTTATTATCGAATAAAGTTCCTTACTTTTCTCCACGTTCGTTATAATAGAATAATAGAGTTGGAAGAGACCACATGGGCTATCTAGTCCAACCCCCTTCTGCCATGCAGGAAAAACACAATCAAAGCACCCCACACAGATGGCCACCCAGCCTCTATTTAAAGGCTTCCAAGGAAAGAGCTTCCACTAAACTCTGAGGCAGAGAGTTCCACTGCTGAACAGCTGTTCTTACCGTCAATGTTCAGGTGGAATCTTCTTCCCTGTCATTTGAAACCACGACTCCATTAAGTCCTAGTTTCCAGGGCAGCAGAAAACAAACCTGTTTTGTACCGAAACACTAAGCATGCTTTGGGGGGCTCATAATTTGCACAAACTGTCTTAATTCTATGTCTTTGCTTTGCTTAATGACGTAGATTATCACCGCGGTGGCTCCCTTTCTGTGGAAATGGAGACGTAGCAGTTCTGCAAGGCCCAAGGCGGGGCGCTCAATCCGCTTTCTCAGGTGAGCATTTTATCCTGACGTTCGGAATAGAAAAGAGCGTAGTGTTGGCTGCTTCCACCAACATTTGTACCTATCAAATTAATAATAAGCCATTAAGAGCATTAACCATTTTATTTGTGGACTGGTTGCAGACTCCACTTCGTGGCCCCATTTCTGAAGGTTGGCTCTGCATCTCGTGGTGCAAGAGCACAGTCTGTTCAGCGCCTTCCAAGTCGCCCAGCTTTCTGTGTGCCCAGGAGGGAGTCTCTCATTTGGTATTGAGGTTCCGGGTTTTAGCCTGCCACTTTTGGACTCTCGCTTGCTGAGGTGTCCCTCAGTGATCTTAGAAAACTATTTCTTAATTTAAGGCCTTGGCGTGCTGGCTGATATCCGAAGGGATGAGACAGAGATGTTACTGCCTTGGCCCCTTCATTATTTATTTATTATTTATTTACACCATTTCTACCCCGTCCTTCTCACCCCCGAGGGGGGACTCAGGGCGGCTAATACAGGCAACAATTCAATGCCAAAATATCAATACAACAATGTAAAATCAAATACAAAACAAATTAAAATAGTAACATTAATTAAAATCACATACTCATATAATAACATTTTATTACATGTAATGATAATAATAAATAGAGTAAAATAATAAATGTAACAACAACAACAACAGAGGAAAATAATAAATAACTTTAACTTGAGTATCAAGTTATTACAGGCTGCTACTTCCTGATGGATGTCAACACTGAGACCTACCTCCCACTGAGGCCTTCTCACACAGAGGGCTCTCTCAGACTGATGCCTCTTACACACTGAGGCTAAATAACACTGAGGCCTACTCATCCTGCAGAACATGATTCACGACAGCAAATCCAACTAACACATGACATCAAATCCAACTAACAGTGGGACCTACCTCCCACTGAGGCCTTCTCACACAGGGGGCTCTCTCAGACTGATCCCTCTTACACACTGAGGCTAAATAACACTGAGGCCTACTCATCCTGCAGAACATGATTCGTGACATCAAATCCAACTAACACTGAGGCCTACCTCCCAGTGAGGCCTTCTCACACAGAGGGCTCTCAGACTGATGCCTCTTTCACACTGAGGGTAAATAACACTGAGGCTACTCATACTGCGGAACATGATTCATGACATCAAATCCAACTAAACACTGAGGCCTACCTCCCACTGAGGCCTTCACACACAGAGGGCTCTCTCAGACAGAGGACTCTTTCAATCCTGGCCTTAATTGCCTTTGTTCTGATGGCTTGCTCCTGGGCTGCATTATTATTATTATTATTATTATTATTATTATTATTATTATTATTATTTGAAACACAACAAGATGAGTCCACAGCAGACACTCTGCTGGCTGTTGAATAGGATCACACGGCAGACACTTCCCAAGTCTCTAGGACTGTGTGATGTATTTATTTATTTAAAACTTTTATGTCCCGATCTTCTCAACCTCCGTAGAGGGACTCAGACCGGTTTATCGGCGAATGATGCGTGCAGATCCCAGTAAGGTGGCCTTCTGCAGCTGGCAGAGGATAACTTTGTCAGCACCGATTGTGTTTAAGTGCAGGCCAAGGTCTTTAGGCACTGTACCCAGTGTGGCGATCACCACTGGGATCACCCTGACTGGCTTGTGCCACAGTATTTGTATTGTGAAGGCGGATCTGGTCCATGCCTTAGTCACCTCCAGATTAGACTACTGTAATGCACTCTACGTGGGGCTGCCCTTGAAAACAGCCCGGAAATTCCAACTGGTTCAGCGGGCGGTGGTCAGATTGTTAACTGGTGCTCCTTACAGGGAGAGGTCAACCCTCCTGTTTAAGGAGCTCCATTGGCTGCCATTCATTTTCCGGTCCCAATTCAAGGTGCAGGTTCTTACCTACAAAGCCCTAAACGGTTTGGGACCTGCCTACCTGCGTGACCGCATTTCAGTATACGAACCCACACGATCTCTTCAATCTTCCAGAGAGGCCCTGCTCGCGATTCCACCTGCATCGCAAGCACGATTGGTGGGGACAAGGGACAGGGCCTTCTCTGTGGTGGCCCCTCGACTCTGGAACTCACTCCCAAAGGATTTCAGGCATGGCCCGTCGTTGGCAGTCTTTAGGAGGAGCTTGAAAACGTGGCTGTTTCAGTGCGCCTTCCCAGAATAGGAAACTCCAAGCACTTTGTCCCAAATGCACTTTACTAGAGATCTAGGACTGTCTGCACGCCCTACCTATCTATCCATTTCACCCGGTCATGCTCAGCTTTTTTCAATTTTTTAACCATTACATCTGGCCCTGACACTTGGTTTTTAATTGCGTTGTGTTGTTATTGTTAATGTTATTGCTTGAGTTTTATTTATTGCTGTATTGTTGTCGTCTTGTTTATTGTTGTATTGGGTCTCGGCCTACTGTAAGCCCGCACCGAGTCCTTCAGGAGATGGTAGCGGGGTACAAATAAAGGATTATTATTATTATTATTATTATTATTATTATTATTATTATTTCTTATTATTACTAGCTGTACCCGCCACGCGTTGTTGTGGTTAACCTTCCCTCCCTCTTTCTCTCCTTCCTTTTCTCTACTTCTTTCCCTTCCTATTTGTCTTCTTCTTTCTTCCATCTCTGCCTGTTTCTTTCCTCCCTTTCTTTGCTCTTTGGTTACACCCTTCCTTCTTTCCCTTTCACTTTTTTATTTCCTTGTCTCCTTCCTTGTTTTTCTCCCTTCCTTCCTTCCTTCCGTCCGTCCTTTCTTTCCTTCCTTCTTTTCCTCCCCCTTTCCCTCCTTCATTCCTTCCCTTTTTCCCTCCTTCTCTCGTTACTTCTTGACTGTCCCTTCCAACTCTATTCTGTAAGTCTATTTAATTAATATTATATAGTAATATATAATAGTAACATATTATATAGTAACGTATCTAACAATATATAAAATATTGCATTTATATCTTACATAGAAAGAAGGAAAGGAAGAAGGAAGGAAAAAATAAGGGAGGAAAAAGGGAGGGAGGGAAAGAGGGGAAGGAAGGAAAGGAAAGAAGGAGGGACAGGAAGGAAGGAAGAAGGAAGGAGGGAAAGGAAGGAGGGGGTGAAGAAAGGAGGGAGGGAAGGAAATGAAGGGGAAGGAAATGAAGAAAGGGAAAGGAGGAAAGGAAGGGAGGGTAGAAGGAAAAGAAGGAAAGGAAAGGAAGAAGGAAGGAAAAAATAAGGGAGGAAAAAGGGAGGGAGGGAAAGAGGGGAAGGAAGGAAAGGAAAGAAGGAGGGACAGGAAGGAAAGAAAAGAGGAAGGAAGGAAGGAGGGAAAGGAAGGAGGGGTGAAGAAAGGAGGGAGGGAAGGAAATGAAGGGGAAGGAAAGAAAGGGAAAGGAGGAAAGGAAGGGAGGGTAGAAGGAAAAGAAGGAAAGGAAAGGAAGAAGGAAGGAAAAAATAAGGGAGGAAAAAGGGAGGGAGGGAAAGAGGGGAAGGAAGGAAAGGAAAGAAGGAGGGACAGGAAGGAAAGAAAAAAGGAAGGAAGGAAGGAGGGAAAGGAAGGAGGGGGTGAAGAAAGGAGGGAGGGAAGGAAATGAAGGGGAAGGAAATGAAGAAAGGGAAAGGAGGAAAGGAAGGGAGGGTAGAAGGAAAAGAAGGAAAGGAAAGGAAGAAGGAAGGAGGGGACAGGATGGAAGGGAAGGAGGGAAAGAAGGAAAGGAAGGAGGGAGGGACAGGAAGGAAGGAAGGGGGGGGGAAGGAAAGGAAGGAAGAAAAGGGAGGAGGAAAGAAGGGAAGGGAGTGAGGGAGAGAAGGAGTGTGGCAGAGAGAGAGAGAGTGTTAAATGTGTGCTTGTGTTGCCGGAGACAGATCTACAGAAATGAGAGAGAAGGAGAGGGAGGAAAGAAAGAAGGAGTTGGAGGAGGAAGAAGGGAGCAGGACACACAGGAATGGGAGAATTCAAAAATAAAACTTGTTTTTGCCTCTTTCTTTCTTTCCTCTTCCTGCAGTGAAGGGAGGGAGGCAAGGAAGGTTGGCGAAGAAGGGAACAGTCTCTCTCCCCTCCTCCCTCCCTCCTTTCTGCTTTCTGTTTTCGTGGTTTTTTTGAGTGGAGAACATACATTGGGTTGTTAGGTGTCTTGTGTCCAAATTTGGTGCCAATTGCCCCAGTGGTTTTTGAGTTCTGTGAGTAGCACAAACGAACATTACATTTTTATTTATATAGATGATGATGATGATGATGATGATTATTATTATTATTATATTGCTTCTGACCAGACTTTCTCCCTTTGGCCTTGACTTTCAGCTTCCTTCTCTCATCCGCTTCCTCCGTCGATGGACACTTTTGAAAGAAAGGAAGCGCATGGATTTTCAAGGAGAGGAAGCCTTCTCGAGTCTCCGAAATGGTCTCCGAAATGGTTCTTCTGGATACTCGCATTGATCATTCCAAGGATCCTTCTGTGATTTTGAACTTCGAAGTGACTAACGGGGTCTGTTGTGGCCTTTTTCCTGTCTTGTCCCGAAGGAGGGAAAACCGCCGGCGCAAACGGTTCCCAAATAAATGCCTTGAGGGTGGTTCCCTCGAACAGCCTCCTTGAAGAGGCCTTTGACCAGGAATCATGGCTGCCGAAGTCCGGACTTGGGCGGTGAGCGTGCGCAAGCAAGACGTCACTCCACCTCCGCCGACGCTCATTTTCGTAATGATTAACTCCGACCCTGTGAAGAGCGCACCCTCTTTGGCACAGAAGGAGGGTTTTATGAGCCTTGAAGCACATTCTTTGTGGCAGGTGCCTGCTTTTTAAAGGAACCTCCACTGCCGGAAACCCATTCCTACCATTCCCAGCACATTTCAGACGCAAGGGACACAGCTGCTATCTATACTGAAGTTTCCCCCTGCATCAAAAGGAGGAGGCCATCTTTTTTGGCATGTTCCTGTATGAAGAAACATTTGTGGTACGACTCTGATACAGTCCAGATTTTTCGAAAGAAAAGGGGATGATGCTATAAAGCAGTGTTTCTCAACCTGGGGGTTGCGACCCCTGGGGGGATCGCGTGGGGTTTCAGAGGGTTCACCAAACAGCACCAAAAAAATATTTCTGATGGTCTTAGGAACCCCATTGAGTCCCTTCAAGGCATGGGAGTTCTGTGTAGGAAGTTTGACCCAATTTTATTGTTGGTGGGGTTCAGAATGCTCTTTGATTGTAGGTGAACTATAAATCCCAGCAGCCACAACTCCCAGATGTCAAGGTATATTTCTCACAAACTCCACCAGTGTCCACATTTGGGCATATTGAGTATTCGTGCCAAGATCTATCATTGTTTGAGTCCTCAGTGCTCTTTGGATGTAGGTGAACGACAACTCCCAAACTCAAGGTCAATGCCCACCAAACCCTTCCAATATTTTGTCTTGGTCATGGAAGTTCTGTATGCCAAATTTGGTTCCGTTCCATTGTTGGTGGAGTTCAGAATGCTCTTTGATTGTAGGTGAACTATAAATCCCAGCAACTACAACTTCCTAATGTCAAGGCCTATTTCCCACAAACTCCACCAGTGTTGACATTTGAGCATATTGAGTATTCGTGCCAAGATCTATCATTGTTTGAGTCCACAGGGCTCTCTGGATGTAGGCAAACTACAAGTCCAAAACTCAAGGTCAATTTTCTATAAGTCATGGGAGTTCTGTGTGCCAAGTTTGGTTCAATTCCATCATTGGAGTTCAGAATGCTCTTTGATTGTAGGTGAACTATAAATCCCAACAACTACAACACCCAAATGTCAAGGAATATTTCCCACAAACTACCAAATGTCAAGGTCCTTTCCCCCCAAACTCCACCAGTGTTGACATTTGGGCATATTGAGTATTCGTGCCAAGATCACTATAAATCCGAGCAACTACAATTCCCAAATATCAAGGTCTTTCCCCCCCAAACTCCACCAGTCTTTTGGTAGAAGCCTACTTGTGAAGAATACAGCTGATGACATGTCTAGGAGAAAGCCGACATCAGCACCTGGTGAACTATAAATCCCAGCAACTACAACTCCCAAATGTTAAGGTATATTTCCCACAGACCACCAGTTTTCACATTTGGACATATTGCAAGATCCCAAGATCTATCATTGTTTGAGTCCACAGTGCTCTCTGGATGTAGGTGAACTACAACTCCCAAACTCAACATCAATGCCCAGCAAACCCTTCCAATATTTTGTCTTGGATGTGGAAGTTCTGTATGCCAAGTTTGGTTCAGTTCCATTGTTGGTGGAGTTCAGAATACTCTTTGATTGTAGGTGAACTATAAATCCCAGCAACTACAACTCCCAAATGTCAAGGCATATTTCCCACAAACTCCCAAATGTCAAGGTCCTTTCCCCCCAAACTCCACCAGTGTTGACATTTGGGCATATTGAGTATTCGTGCCCAGATCTATCATTGTTTGTGTCCACAGTGCTCTCTGGATGTAGGTGAACCACAACTTCCAAACTCAAGGCCAATGCCCAACAAACTCTTCTAGTATTTTGTGTTGGTCATGGGAGTCCTGTATGCCAAGTTTGTTTCAATTCCATAATTGGTGGAATTCAGAATGTTCTTTGATTGTAGGTTCACTATAAATCCCAGCAACTACAATTCCCAAATGTCAAGGTATATTTCCCACAAACTCCCAAATGTCAAGGTCCTTTCCCCCCAACTCCACCAGTTTGGGCATATTGAGTATTCTTGCCAAGATCTATCATTGTTTGAGTCCACAGTGCTCTTTGGATGTAGGTGAACTACAACTTCCAAACTCAAGGCCAATGCCCACCAAACTCTTCCAGCATTTTGTGTTGGTCATGGGAGTCACATTTGGTTCAATTCCGTAATTGGTGTAATTCAGAATGCTCTTTGATTGTAGGTGCACTATAAATCCCAGCAACTACAACTCCCAAATGACACAATCAAGCCTCTCCAACCCCACGCATATTTTAATGTGGGTGTATCGGGTATTTGTGCCCAATTTAGTCCATCCTTCATATTAGATATTTACATGACAATTCATAACGGTAGCAAAATTCCAGTAGCAACGAAAATAATGTGATGGTTGGGGGTCACCACAACATGAGGAACTGGATTAAGGGGTCACGGCATTCGGAAGTTTGAGAAATGCTGCATTAACATTTCCTTAGCTCTCTCCAACCAGAGTCCTAATCTCATATCATGGGACAACAGTAGCAAAATTACAGTTATGAAGTAGCAACGAAAATAATGTGATGGTTGGAGGTCACCACGACATGAGGAAGTGGATTAAGGGGTCGCGACATTAGGAAGGTTGAGAAACACTGCATTAACATTTCCTTAGCTCTCTCCAACCAGGGTCCTAATCTCATATCACGGGACAACAGTAGCAAAATTACAGTTATGAAGTAGCAACGAAAATAATGTGATGGTTGGGGGTCACCACGACACGAGGAACTGGATTAAGGGGTCGCGGCATTAGGAAGGTTGAGAAACACTGCTTTAAAGAACGGTTCTGGGGATTGGCAAGCGTTGTCTGCAATGAGATAGATCATTGAGTCGTCTTGGAACGTTTTAGTAAGCCTTCCCTTGCATCACACCGAAACCCCACTTTTTCCCCTTTTGCAAGGAACTCTTTGGTTGGCCTCCGACTTGGGACCAATCGGACTTTCCTCGGAAAGATTTCTCTATTTTTTTGTTGTTGCTTTTGATCAGTCGCAACGCACAAGTTGGGAAGGAAGAGACTTGATTTTGGAGAATTAGATGAATGCTTAAGAGACATTGGACTCTAGGCAGTGTTTTCAAGGGTCCTTTCCCCGCCTCCTTTTGCACGGCCATCTTGAAAACCTGGGAAGTGCATTTCAACGCATGACTTTTAAGCCTTATCTTGATGCTTCGCTTCGGATGAAAGGTTGTGTGCTGTTGCAAGCCGGATTGTGCATCGTTGCTGCTGCAATGTCGACTCGATGCAGGACAGGCGCCGGCATCATTTCCCCCCTCACGTCTGTGTTTTGATGTTTTTTTTACTCGAATTGCAGCATCAAAAGGTGCAAACTTTTTTACTCTTCGTCTTAAACGGATTTTTCTTCCTTTTCCGCTCTTCTTCCTTCCCTGGGGCTGGTGCATGTTCTTGATTTTGTTTCCCGTAGTACTCATTGATCCCAGCCTTATCAAACTGGTTTTCTGCTCCTAAACCATCCAAATAGTGTGTGTTTACTTCCTCTGATTCTCTAATGCAGGTATGGGCAAGCTCAGGCCCAGGGGCCAAATGCAGCAGCCTCTTGGGCTCTTTTCTCAAGCCCTCCTGTCTCTCACCATCCTATCCTTCCTTCTTTCTCTTTCCTTCCTCCTTCCCTTCTTTACCTCCCTTTCTCCCTCCCTCCTTTCCTTCCACCCTTTTGCCCTTCCTTCCTTCCTTCCCTCCCTCTCTTCCTTTCTCCTTCCCTCCTTCCATTCTCTTCCACCCTTTTCCTTCCTTCTTTTCCCTCCCTCCGTTCCCTTCCACCCTTTTCTTCCTTTCTTCTCTTTCCTTCCTCCTTCCCTTCCACCCTTTATTCCTTCCTTCTCTCTTTCCTTCCTCCTTCCCTTCCTTACTTCCTTCTTTCTCCCTCCCTCATTCCCTTTCACCCTTTTGCCCTTCCTTCCTTCCTTCCCTCCCTCTCTTCCTTTCTCCTTCCCTCCTTCCATTCTCTTCCACCCTTTTCCTTCCTTCTTTCTCTTCCCTCCCTCCGTTCCCTTCCACCCTTTTCTTCCTTTCTTCTCTTTCCTTCCTCCTTCCCTTCCACCCTTTATTCCTTCCTTCTCTCTTTCCTTCCTCCTTCCCTTCCTTACTTCCTTCTTTCTCCCTCCCTCATTCCCTTTCACCCTTTTGCCTTTCCTTCCTTTCTCCTTCCCTCTTTCCTCTCCCCTTTCCTCTCTCCCTCTTTCTCCTTCTCTCCCTCCCTCCTTCCTTCCGTCCCCCTTCCTTCCTTGTCTAGCTCCTCCCTCCCTCCATTGCCTTCCACCATTTCATCCTTCCTTCTCTTTCCTACTCCTTTGCTTCCTTCCTTCCATCCTTCTCTTCCTTCCTTCTCTTTTTCCTTCTTCCTTCCCATCCACCCTTTTGTCTCTCTCTCAATTCCCTTCCACCCTTTCCTCCTTCCTTCCCTCTCCTTCCTCTTTCCTTCCTTACCTCCCTCTTTCTCCCTCCCTCCTTTCCTTCCACCCTTTTGCCTTTCCTTCCTTTCTCCTTCCCTCTCTCCCTCTTTCTCCTTCTCTCCCTTCCTCCTTTCCCTTCCACCCTTTATTTCTTCCTTCTCTTTCCTTCCTCCATCCTTCTTTTTTCTTTCCATCCTTCCCTTCCACCCTTTCATCCTTCCTTCCCTTTTGACCTTCCTTCCTTGTCTAGCTCCTCCCTCCCTCCATTGCCTTCCACCATTTC